TTTTCAGAGGAGGATTACGGCAGTCACCAACTGCTGCCATCAGAAGGGGTTTAAGAAAGGGGTTTGGGAGATGGAAGCGAGTTTCAAGAGAGCAGCGGAATGGATCACGGGAAACGGCGAGGTCCAGCGAGATTCACAACAGGGAGATTCAGGTCGCACAGGGGGTCGCACAGGGAGATTCAGGTCGCACAGGAAAATTCAAGTCGCACGGGGGAATTCACGTCCCATGAAGCCCGACACTGACTCCCCCGTTTGACTCACCGTGCACTTCGGCGCAGTCGACGTCGAGCTCCGCCATGGTCGCCACGTGGAGCTCCCTGATCACTCGCAGCTCGTCGATCGCCGCGCACTTGGCGGATCCGCACGTCAGCGCCCTCTCGCCGACCTGCCAATAACGGGGATTAAGATGATTGCGTCGTCGTTGAGACTCGAAAGCTGAACTGGAGTAATGAACGGCCTGCTGACAATCTCCCCTGAACGCCCAACTACACTAAATCCGGTGATCGGCACGATGGTTTTACGCGAGACGAGTTGCAGTAGCCAGCTGTCGATCAATCTCCGGAAATCTAGGACACATCCTCCGGCGGCGTCTCTCAGACGGCTTATCGAAACTACCGGCCGGCCGGCATTCGTACGCTCGAAGCTACCGACAGGCCGGCAATTGCTCGAAGCTCCTGCCCTGATTCACGAGTCCTGAAACCCCAGATTTGGTATGACAATGTCCGCACGCCGCACCTTGATCAGGTTGTTTGTCGTTTTCCCCATGGCGGACATGACGATGATCGGATTCTCCTCGGGGAACGACAGAATCAAATCTGCCACCTCCCGCATGCGCGCCGCGTTCGCCACCGACGAGCCGCCGAACTTCATCACGACAGAGAAAGGCACTTCCGGCGGCAGCGCCTCTGGCGGCTCGGTGACCGGCGCGTCGAGAGACTGCAGCGCCGACGCGACTCGGATAGAGGACAGAGCGGCGGCGTCTGATTGGTCCTGATCGACGCGCCGAGAGGAAAGCGCGGGAATGGGAGACTGCGCGCGAGCGGCGGCATTCTTCAGGGAAAGTGATTGGCTGGATTTGGCGGGAACCGGCTGGGAGAAGCTAGGTAGGCCGTGAGATCTGGATCGTACGTTTCGATTTAAGCACTCCGCTCTTAGTCTCGGGGCGCAGGTGGCGAGATCGATGCCAGGAGCCATGGCGAACGTGCGAATTCGCTTCGAAGTGTAACCACTAATCTCTGTAACGCGACTGTTATGCAGTGAGACACTGGAGGGATAGTGAATAGGCGAACACGGTGGGTAATCGCGACGGCACGACGGACCGCTTTGGACGGAGAGATTAAGACGAGAGGAGGCTACTCGCGCACCGGCAGCTACGCTAGCACTAGGGTGAGAACTACTCGCTACTACCTGAACACTGGCCGTTGCCTGACTAGAAAATGCCATCTTCTTGTCTAGGAGAGAGAAATATGAAAGCTGAGAGCTGAGCACAGCAACGCCACAGCCACCGCAACGACCGACAACCTCAGCCAGCACACTCAAGCTAGCGTAATTTCCTCGCAAATCGCCACAGCCACAGCCGGTGGCGCGTTGGAACGGAAAGAGTTTTAGGCCCCAACCTACTCGAGCGGGATTTACTGCGCTGGAGGCGCCGTGCAGCGCTGGACCCTAAAGGGGGGTTTATGGAGCTCACCTACCCACAAAAGCACAGATCCACGCTGAGTTGGACAGTGAAGCAAAACACACGGACGCAGTGCAATCTGATGGACTCTGGTCCAATCAGGTTGGCACAATATGTGCTGTTCAGTGATCCGTTGAACAGTGCGCGAGCAGGGGAGGATGTGGTTGGGTTGGCGGGAAAATGAAAGGAAAGGGTTTCGAAGCGCATTTTGCTGGAGGGACGGGGGAGGGGGGAGCGTAGGAAGGGGGAGAGAGTGAGGGCGTGGATCCTAGGTGTGTGGAACCCGGAATTGCGCTACTGGCTACAGTTTTGGCGAAATGTTTGCGCCGATAAGGAACTGCGAGTCCTCATCAATTTTTTAACGAGAAACGTAACCAGACCGGCTTGCGCAACTTAGGTAAGTTGCGCAACTCTAGGCTCCACGCCCTGAGAGCGAGAGAGGAGAGAAAAGTCCAGCTCAGTCAGGGTGTGTTTAGATGGTAAGTTCGGCGCAGAATCAAGCTACACTTAGTTGCAGCAATGGAGTACAGCTGGCTTTCAGCCAGAAAGTACCCTCAATGTCAGTACTCATATAAATGGTACGTCCGTATGCCAGAAGTTTGCATGGTGGTGCGGAATGAGTGGTACAGAATAATTTGCAGCAAGGCTGGTGCAGCTTCAGTAAAAATACGCCTGCGCCTGGAGTCGCAAGGAAGAACCCGCCGCCGCCACAGACCGCAGCGCACGCCCCTCGGGTTTGGTGGCAAGACAACGAGGCAGTGGCGGCACAAGCCTGGCGGGGGGACCACAAGGCGTCAACAGTGGCACGGTCGCAGACACCAGCCCACGGCCCTCGGGAATTGCGGTTCAGTAGCTCGAGCAAAGGGTGGCGGTAACGATGATGTGACGAGCTGCGTGGCAGCGTTAGATTGGTGTATGACCAGCTTCCGCTGGGATGGTGGGATATCGATATTGAGCGCTGGAGTAACCACGAGGGTGTAGGAAGTTAGTTAGAGTCTGTACAATTAATAAGCTAAAGCAACCATTCAATTTAATGCATGCACACAAGGGCAACGGACAAAAAATATGCGAGCCCATCCATCAACTCTTCCTCAACGAAGAGCTGTAAAACAAGATTAAGATGAACCATTTGAACACGCCCCACATGCACATACATAATTCAATTCAATGCCAAGATTATGTTGCATACCCATCAACACTCGTCAAATTCGCAAAAACTCTGGCCATAACCGCTGTATCTTGGAGCTCATGCGACTAAGCAGATCTCTCTCCTGTATAGATGATTGCCACATAGGGTCCAGCCACAGGAACAGCAAAGGCAGGAAGAGGGGTGGAAATACATTATGGGTATGGCGGCTCCATCGTCCCAAGACCCATCAATGCCACAAGCCTCTTGTTACAGGGTGCCTACCCGTACTTGCATTGCACCAATTGATGCCCTCCTCCACCGCATGCCACACCAAGCCTGGCTAGTGGGCCATTGTGTAAAATCTTAGCTGCTGGGTGTCTGGCCCTAGGTTCATTGAACAGGCTCTCTTGCTTATGTGTCAGAGATCACCGGATCGGCCACTGGATCTCACCGGATCGGTCATTGGATCTCACCGAACCGGTCATTGGACCTCACCGGATCGGTCATTGGATCTCACTGGATCGATCATTGGATCTCAACGGATCGGTCATTGGATCTCACTGGATCGGTCATTGGATCTCAACGGATCGGTCATTGGATCTCACTGGATCGGTCATTGGGATCTCACCGGATCGGTCATTGGATCTCACTGGATCGATCATTGGATCTCAACGGATCGGTCATTGGATCTCACCAGATCGGTCATTGGATCTCAACGGATCGGTTATTGGATCTCACCGGATCAGTCTCCCTCAATGCCAGGAGGTGGTCGATGCCCTCCTCCACTGCATGCCGCACCATGCCTGCGCATGAACATACATATGAATGCGTGCACATAGGTAGTTAGAGGCACACACGCACTCACAGATGCACAAAACGCACACACGCACGCACACATGCACACACGTACACACACATGCGCACATGCATGCACAGATGCACACGTACACACACATGCACACACAGATGCACACATGCACACATGTACGCACACATGCACACACGCATGCACAGACATGTGCACATATTTAGACGCATGAGCTCAAGCATGCAGAGACATAAAAACACAACATGTGAATGCGTGATGAGGACATCCATATGGCACGTGCCCGCAGAACCAAACAGCTTCCAAAGAAAGGGAATACGCGTTGGAGGCACACCAGGGCGCAGGGCAAATGAGGGAAGTGCAAGTGGGAGAGAAAGTGCGAAGTGCAAATGGGGAGTGCAAGTGGGGAGTGCAAGTGAGGAGTTCAAGTGGTGGTGAGGGAGAACAGCTTGCATACCGTCCTGATGTTGGATTGGTGCAGAGTGCATGGTTGGTCGATGTTGCACAGGTTGATGCAGTTGCACCATGGGTTGGTGGTGCATGGGTTGATGTTGCATGGGTTGATGGTGCATGGGTTGATGTTGCATGGGTTGATGTTGCATGGGTTGATGTTGCATGGGTTGATGTTGCATGGGTTGATGTTGCATGGGTTGATGTTGCATGGGTTGATGGTACATGGGTTGATGTTGCATGGGTTGATGTTGCATGCGTTGATGTTGCACGCGTTGATGTTGCATGGGTTGATGGTGCATGGGTTGATGGTGCATGGGTTGATGGTGCATGGGTTGATGTTTGCATGGGTTGATGGTGCATGGGTTGATGGTGCATGGGTTGATGTTGCATGGGTTGATGTTGCATGGGTTGATGGTGGATGGGTTGATGGTGCATGGGTTGATGGTGCATGGGTTGATGTTGCATGGGTTGATTGTGCATGGGTTGATGGTGCATGAGTTGATGGTGCATGGGTTGATGGTGCATGGGTTGATGGTGCATGGGTTGATGTTGCATGGGTTGATGGTGCATGGGTTGATGTTGCATGGGTTGATGTTGCATGGGTTGATGTTGCATGGGTTGATGTTGCATGGGTTGATGTTGCATGGGTTGATGTGCATGGGTTGATGGTGCATGGGTTGATGTTGCATGGGTTGATGGTGCATGGGTTGATGTTGCACGGGTGATGTTGCCATGGGTTGATGTTGCATGGGTTTGAGTTGCATGGGTTGATGTTGCATGGGTTGATGGTGCATGGTTGATGGTGCATGGGTTGTGTTGCATGGGTTGATGGTGCATGGGTTGATTTTGCATGGGTTGATGGTGCATGGTGTGTTGCATGGGTGATGTGCATGGGTTGATGGTGATGGGTTGATGTTGCATGGGTTGATGGTGCATGGGTTGATGTTGCATGGGTTGATGTTGCATGGGTTGATGTTGCATGGGTTGATGTTGCATGGGTTGATGTTGCATGGGTTGATGGTGCATGGGTTGATGTTTGGTTGATGTGGGTTGATGTTGCATGGGTTGATGTTGCATGGGTTGATGTTGCATGGTTGATGTTGCATGGGTTGATGTTGCATGGGTTGACGTTGCATGGGTTGATGTTGCATGGGTTGATGTTGCATGGGTTGATGTTGCATGGGTTGATGTTGCATGGGTTGATGGTGCATGGGTTGATGGTGCATGGGTTGATGTTGCATGGGTTGATGGTGCATGGGTTGATGTTGCATGGGTTGATGGTGCATCGGTTTGATGGTGCATGGGTTGATGGTGCATGGGTTGATGTTGCATGGGTTGATTGTGCATGGGTTGATGGTGCATGAGTTGATGGTGCATGGGTTGATGGTGCATGGGTTGATGGTGCATGGGTTGATGTTGCATGGGTTGATGGTGCATGGGTTGATGTTGCATGGGTTGATGTTGCATGGGTTGATTGTTGCATGGGTTGATGTTGCATGGGTTGATGTTGCATGGGTTGATGGTGCATGGGGTTGATGGTTGCCATGGTGATTTGATGGGTGCATGGGGTTGATGTGCATGGGGTTGATGGTGCATGGGTTGATGTTTGCATGGGTTGATGTTGCACGGGTTGATGTTGCATGGGTTGATGTTGCATGGGTTGATGTTGCATGGGTTGATGTTGCATGGGTTGATGTTGCATGGGTTGACGTTGCATGGGTTGATGTTGCATGGGTTGATGTTGCATGGGTTGATGTTGCATGGGTTGATGTTGCATGGGTTGATGTTGCATGGGTTGATGTTGCATGGGTTGATGGTGCATGGTTGATGTTGCATGTGTTGATGTTGCATGGGTTGATGTTGCATGGGTTGATGGTGCATGGGTTGATGGTGCATGGGTTGATGGTGCATGGGTTGATGGTGCATGGGTTGATGCAGCATGAATGCCATGGTTCAGGCAAGAGTCAAGAAGAATCGGAAACAGAAAGGGAAGAAAAGGGAAGGCAAGCAAGGGGGATGGAAACATGCGCAGAGCAAGAGAATGGTGGAAGCGAAGCCTTTGAGAGGGCAACAATCAATGCAGAACATGCCCTAGAGTTCTTCTTAGATTTAGGCGCCTGAGAAACACAATAATTTTCAGGTGCCCAAAAAGAGAACAGCGAAAACGACGCCTTCGAGGGGGCAGGAATCATTTCAGAGCGTGTGGCAGGATGGGCACGGTTCGTGATGGTGCAGCAGAGCAGGCTGAGGACACATGGGCGAATGGAGAGTGAGAGGAATGACGGTGCTCGGGTGAAGGAATGAGGCATGCGGGCTGGAGGCGAGTTGAAGGTGGCAGCACGTTCATGCACCCATGTGCCCATGTGAGCTCCCACGAACATTCATGCTCCCATGCCTTCGTGAATGTTCACGAGTGCCATGCCCGTCAATCCATGACGCCATGTGCATGCCACGAGCATCATGAGCATCACGAGCATGGGGGTGCCGAAGTGATGATACACTCTCCCCCCATCTACCAATGCACTCAACCATGCATATCCGTGCACGTATTGGCACACGCATCGTGCCGTCACACCTTGATCGCCGACGGTGGCAGCTCCCTTGAAATCAATGGGGGTGCCGAAGTAAAAGTACACTCTCTCCAGACGACTCGGCAGGGGAATTAGGCTGGTACGGGACAGAGGGGCAGGGGGGAAGGCGGGGTAAGGGGGGGTTATGGGGTACATACAGGGTAAGGGGGGGTATGGAAGAGCATGTGGGTAGGGCAGAGAAGTGGTGATGGATGAGGATGGGCACTGGAACGAAGGACCAGCCAAAAGAGCAAGACACTCTAGTTTTGAGGCGCCTCAAAAGTCGAAGGACCAGCCAAAAGAGAAAGACACTCAAGTTTTGAGGCGCCTCAAAAGTCGAAGGACCAGCCAAAAGAGCAAGACACCCAACACCCATCTCACCTGGGAAAGTTGGTGCCGGGGAGAACAGTCATGGGGCTGATGTCAGTGGCCGAGTTGAGGTTTAGGGACTGATGGGCGAAGGAACCAAACAAAGAATACGAGTCACAGGTAGCACCTGGCGAGGTGCCCCATCTCACCTTGGGAGGTGCCCCATCTCACCTGGGGAGGTGCCCCATCTCACCTGGGGAGGCTGGTGCCGGGGAGAACAGTCATGGGGCTGACGTCAGTGGCCGGGTTGAGGTTAAGGGACTCGTATAAGCCGCGAACGGGCGGGCCGATGGGGGAAGAGAGGATGTCACTGCGATCCGCGGCAATGTCATAGCTGGTTGGGACGAGGGGAGCAGGGAGAGGGGAGCAGGGAGAAGGGAGAAGGGAGAAGGGAGAAGGATGGAGCCAGGACGAGAGTATGGGGATGTGTCAACGCTGGTTGGGCAAAGGGGGAAGACCGCAGAGGCATTTGGCGCCAACCATGGCAAACGGGATGAGGAGAGCTAGGAGGCATTTGTTTTTTTGAAATTTGAGGTTTAAGGTGTTGGGATTCAGGGTTCGATGACCCCATTTGGGGAGACAAGATGGGGACAAGTGACAAGCCAGGTGAAAGAGGCCAGGAGCAGAGAGAACAAAGTGGGACGAGAGACGAACTTGATGCACCAGACTCGCATGTTGTCGACGCCAACCATTGTGAATGGCACAAGGAAGTTGCAATGCGCGGCTGCCATGTGAATGGCACCGTTGTTCCCACGCACAGACTTCCCCACACACACCACACGTTGTGACTGCTGTCACTGCTGGGATTGCTGGTGAAACAACGAGCATCAGACTCATGCGTCGGCGGTGCCAGCCATTGCGGATGCCAAGGACTGAAGACGAGGGGACAGAGGACTGAGGAGTCCCCTCAGTGAGAGACTCACGCCACGTCAGCCCTGACCATGGCGAGGGGCACCATGATGGTGCTCCGGAGTGCAGACAGAGAAGGAGGAGAGAATGTTTGAGGCGGCTAAAAAATGGAGGAGAGACAAAGACGGTGGTGAGAGCACACTCCGTGAGTCCGAGACTCACGCATCGTCAGCCCCGACCATGGCGAAGGGCACAATGATGGTGTCAAGCTTGGCTGCCATGCGAATGAGTCCACTGTCCCCATGCACAGTCTGCTGCGACGCCCCCTCTCTACGATCACTGCTTCTTCTGCTTCTGCTGCTCTTGCCCGCATCCGCCCCCCACATCAGCTGATACTTCTCACCCTGGCAGGCATAACCAAAAAGGGATGCACAACCAAAAAGGGATGCACATACTGTGAATATTGAGTGTTGGCACTTCCTGCTGGCATCCTTTTGGCCCCACTAGTACGCCCCTCTGTGCCCCACTCGTACGCCCCTCTGTGCCCCACTCGTACGCCCCTCTGTGCCCCACTCGTACGCCCCTCTGTGCCCCACTCGTACGCCCCTCTGTGCCCCACTCGTACGCCCCTCTGTGCCCCCCACCCCACCTATGCCCGTGCCTGGCGCAGCAGCTCGGATGCCTCACTCTACCATGCCTCACTCTACCATGCCTGGGGAAAAGAAGGATGCATACAGCGTGCTTTGAGGCGTCTCAGACATGGCTCCCTACGATGTGGCTCAAAGAAAGAAGAAAAACAAGCAAAGAGTATCTGTTTACTGGATGCTTGTCTCAGGCCCCACCTCAGCCATCATGACAAACTCCCCTCCCCACCCTACCCTCCCCTCCCCGCCCCGCCCTGCCCCTCCCCTCCCCTCCCCTCCTCTCCCCTCCTTCACTCCCCTCCCCACTTCCCCTCCTCTCCCACCCTCCCCTCCCCTCCCCTCCCCTCCCCTCCCCTCCCCTCCCCTCACCTCCCCTCCCCTCCCCTCCCCTCCCCGCCCCGCCCCGCCCCGCCCTCCCCTCCCCTGCGCTACCTTCCCCTTCGCCCACCTTTAGCCGGCATGTTTCTCTGGAGCCTCCTGGGAACACCAGCACGGGCCCTCCCTCCTGGTGGGGTCATGAGACAGGGGCGGTGTGGGGTATGAAGAGGTGGAGAGGGGCAAGCGGGGCCTATTCTAGAGCCTTCTCTGGAGACCCCTGGGAACACCAGCACAGGCCCTCCCTCCTGGTGGGGCCACGAGACAGGGGTGGTGTGGGGTATGAAGGGGTGGAGAGGGGCAGTTCCTCTATAAAGCCTTCTTTAGAAACTCCTGGGCCCTCCCTCCTGGTGGCGTCACAAGACGGGTGGTGAGGGGTATGAAGGGGTAGAGAGGGGCAGGATAGTCAGAGGGGAAGATGGGACAGGCAGAAGGTGGCAGGAGCCTTTGCCTAGGCCCTGCACGGGCCGCCGTTTCTGATGGTATCACAAGTCAAATGATCATGGGAAGCAAAGGGGAAGGAGTAAGATGAGAGGGGAAGATCGGAGAGTTGGAGGAAGGGGAAGTGCAGGAAGGAGAAAGACGAGGGGAGAAGAGCGGAGAGTCGGGGGGGAAGGGAACTGCGGAGGTGGAAGCACTGAGTCCGGCCCTCCCTCATAATGGGGTACGTGCTTTGAGCAGCTTGTAAAGGCTTGAGTGAGAAGCTTATAAAGAGTATTGACTCACCTTGAGAAGGTTATAAAGAGTATTGACTCACTTTGAGAAGCTTATAAAGATCGCTTTCGTACGTTTGACCGACGACGAAGTTTGCCCATGCGATCCGATTTGGTCAGGCTTTGGTGGGAAAAGTGGGGTGGTACCCCACTTGGACCACTGCGACTGGCTGTGAGTTGCGACAAGTCAGAATCGAACACTTGCCTCCAAATATTGAACGGAAAATCGTGCGCCCAATCAGGAGGCGCGATCGAGTCGTCAGGCGCCTGCAAAGTTGGGGTGGTTTGGTCGCGCAGCGACTACCAAACCTGACGGCCACCTCTGCGAAGACTCCCACCTAAGTGCATGAAATTTTGCATTTTCCAGTCGCGGTGCAAACCAGAACTCCCAAAGTTGCATTGGTGATCTATCCAGAGACAACCACCGCAACAACCCAGCCATCTACAAAAGAAAGAACAACGCACTCGAAAACCAATGCATTCACCCCAACACCTGACGGCGGCAATGGTCGCAGGAGGTCGTGGGCCCACGTCGCACTTTGCCCAAGAGGTCTTTGCAGTTTGGTACATCTCCGAGGCGCGTGGGCAAACATTGCAATGTCAATTTCCCACGCTTCGAGTCGCACGGGCAAACTTCGTTCGTCGGTCAAACGTACGAATGCGACCAAAGAGGATTTACTCGTTCTGAGACGGTTGTAAAGTGTATTGACTCACTTTGAGAAGATTATAAAGAGTATTGACTCACTTGAGAAGGTTATAGAGAGTATTGACTCACTTTGAGAAGGGTTATACAGAGTATTGACTCACTTTGAATAGGTTATAGAGAGTATTGTCTCACTTTGAGAAGGTTGTACAGAGTATTGACTCACTTTGAGAAGGTTATAAAGAGCACGAGGTGAAGGCTTGACATGGCCGAAGCTGCAAGGGTGATGGGACAGTTGGTGGGTAGGGGATGCGGGGGGGAGGACATGGGATGCATGCAGAATACTGAGAGCAGGCGCGTGAACTGCCCATGCTGACCTCACCTCGCCTCACCTCTCAATACAGCTATTTCCTACTCCCATCCATAAGCCCCTTTCCTATCTCCCAACACCTGAGAGCACCTGTCAAGCAGGCTGGCTGCGGCCGGCAGCAGCACCCTGACCCACCACCTGATGCACCACCTGATGCACCACCTGATTTCCCACCTCTCCAATAGAAGTTCTACAGACGGCTGGATCTGAGATACCCACCACCTGACCCCAACACTCCACCATCTGACACCATCACTCCACCTAAGCCCGGCACTCCACAGACGGCTGCAGACGGAAGAAGTTGACGTTTGCACCTCTGTAAACCACCTGACCCACCACCTGACCCACCACCTGACCCACCACCTGACCCACCACCTGACCAACCACCTGACCCACCACCTGACCCACCACCTGAGCCCACCACCTGAGCCACCACTTGAACCCACCTTTCCAAGAGCTCTCCTAGAGACTGCTGCAGCCAGAAGCTGGGATGCGCAAGGCAGCGACATTTGAACCCTCGCATGTACAGCTGAGAGGGGAGGGCGCGAGGGGGTGGGTGAATATAGACAGATGGGTTAGATCTGGCGTATGAGGGTGGATGGAGTCAGTGCGCGAGGCAGCGACACTTGAGTCCTCGCATGTACAGCTGATGTGGGGAGAGGCGAGCAGGGGTGAGGGGGAAGTAGAAGGCAGAGGCGGGTGGAAGGAGAGAGTGTTGAGGGGTGGTGAGTCAATGCACGAGAAGGCGGCATTTGAAGCCACACGAGCAGAGCTGAGGAGAGAGGGGGGGGGGGGTTGTAGGGAAGGTAGAGTGGGGAAGGGTGAACGAGGTGGTGGAGGGATTGGTTGGGGTGGGGCAAGGCAGCAGACGGAAGCTGGGATGCGCGAGGCAGCGGCACTTGAATCCACGCATGTAGAGCTGAGGGGGGAGAGCAGGTTTGGAGCGGGTTGACGTGGAGGGGGTTGGGAGGCCACTAAGTAGGCCAGGAAGCGACACTAAGTGCCACGCATGGAAAGCTGGAGATAGAGGGAGGATGTGAGGGTTGGGCACGGGTGATGGGGAAGGTGGGTAGAGAACTTTTAGCAGACAGTGGTTCAATGGCTGGGATGTGCAAACCACAGGCCTTGAAACCACACATGTATTGCGCATCAATGGGAAAAATGCGGCGGAGCGGGGGTAGCAGATCCAAAAACAAAATAACCGCATCACTTGGAACCACGCATGTCCAGCAAGAGCGGAATTTTGAGTGATGGAGGGGACTCAGAAGGGAAAAGGGACATTGAGGGGCCAACTAAGACCGCAACCGCGACAGTTGAAGGCTGACACGTAAGATAGTGTATTTCTTGGATTTTACCGGTTTCAAGTACAACTAGGGTTGGTTATGGTGAAAGCGTGAAAGGGGGGAGGAGACAGCCAGAAGAGACATGCTACCTCGTAGAGCAGCAGTGGGGTGTCGTAAAAGCCATAGATGGTATGATTACCCACAAACAGCACACTGCGATCAGGTTGACGGGCGAGCTGACATGAGAACGGGGTCAGAGAGAGATGAGGGGAAAAAGGGGTGAAACGAGGCACACACTCAAACGATGGTGGGACTCTCAACAACCACACACTGCAATTGGGGCAACGACCCAAACGACACTACCAAGTTAACACACGCTCATCCCTCTCTGCACTCACTCCATCCCCAATCTTAGCTATACCCACTACGAAACTAGAATTAACAGCCGTACGGCACTACGTACGTGCTTATACACACACGCTTTATATCCACACGCCCGTACGGTGTTGTAAAATATATATCTATACAACATGCATGCCTAGATTAGGAGGTGTAGTCATTATAATTATTGGGGGGTTGTTGGTTGGGTTGACCAACCCCACATTTGGGTTGGTCAAGATTGGATTTGGTCCTAGACATTTGGTTGGCACTATTCCAACCAAATGGTCTTTGGTCCTAGGAACCAACCAATCACCAAGCACCACACTTTGTGGTTGCTTGCCTTCCAAGCAATCTCTCTCATTGGTCCACATTGTGACCAATAGGAGAGCACCACACTTTTGTGGTTGCTTGCCCTACAAGCAACCTCCCCCATTGGCCCACTTTATGGCCAATAGGAGAGCTTCCCTTCCAACTCTTCCTTGCTCCTTGTTTTGTACAAAAAGAGCCTCTCGGCTCCCTACTCAATTCAACTTTTCTCTTCCAAGCTAGTTCTTTCATGGTATTCAGAGCCACAATGGCTCACGCCACCTCGATTCGATCCTAACTAGCACGGCCCTATGCTGTCCCTCCTCATCTTCGAAGTCTAGCCCTTCCTTAGGCTACTTCCCGCGCCCCCCGTGCGCCCTTTCTCGCCGCGCTACTCCGTCGCGCCCGCTCTTTCTCCCGTCGCGCGCCTTTTTGCCGCGCCCGCTCTCCCTTCCGTCGTGCGCCTCCCGTCGCGCCTGACGACGCGCTTCCGGCCGTCGCATCCTCCTACTGCGCCCGTTGGTGCGCTCCTCCGTCGTGCGGTCCGTCGTCGCGCCCTCCCGTCGCGCCCTCCCGTCGCGCGCCCTCCGCGTTTGCGCACACCAGTCCATCACGCTCTCCGCGCGCCCGTGCGTCACGGCTCCCGTGGACGCCCGTCGACAAATCCTCTCAGCGCGCCCGTCGCCTTTCTGCCGCCGCGCGCGCGCGGTCGTCGGTCGATTTCTCCGCCGCGTGCGCCCGCCCGTCGTCGATTCTGCCGTCGCGTGCTCCCGTTCGTCGCGCCGTTTCGACGTGCAGCCGGTCGCCGCATCCTCCTTGGAGCGCGTCGCGCAGCTCGTTTAAGTCGCCTTCGGCGACTTAAGAGCTGCGCTCCGCGCACCTATCCTTCTCCTCCTCCTTTCCCTTTTCCTCCTCCTTTCTCTTTTCCTCCTCCTTTTCCTTTTCCTCCTCCTTTCCTTTTTCCTCCTCCTTTCCCTTTTCCTCCTCCTCCCCCCCCCCCCCCCCCCCCCCCCCCCCCCCCCCCCCCCCCTTCCTTCCCCTCCTCCTCAATGGCGTCCGATTCCTCCGTGGACTTTACCTCCGTCGACGCTCTTGAGCTGCTGCCCGACAACACCGCGGTCAATTGGCATTCCTATGCCCAAACCGTCACGGTGCTTCTCTCCTCGGTGACGGTCAACGGCTACAACCTGAAAGCCGTTGTCCATCTCGAGGAGCGCGGTCTTCAGCCTGCCCAGCCGGATGCACCCGCGGGCCCTGCACCTCCTCCTCCTGGCGATCCTCCCGTCAGCCCCGGCGATCCTCCAACCTTCGCCCCTGACGTCAACGACCCTCAGAGCTCCGAGACCGCCATCCGCACCTACCGTGCCGGCCTCACCGACCACGTCCGCCAGCAGCTGCTCTTCGAGGCTTCCCGCGCCGAGCATGACGCCGCCACTGCCGCCTACAACACGTATCAGGCGGCGCTCGCGGAATACGTCAGTCGCGAGCGCGCATACATCACCGACCTCGCTGCCTGGCGTGTCGCTGACCGGCGCGCGCTCACCATCCTCCTCGCCACCATTCCTCCCACCCTCAAGCGCGAGCTTGCTCCCACCTCCTCCTCCCACCTCTGGCGGCTCCTCACCGATCTCTATGATCGGCAGGACGTCGCCACCCTCTACTCCCTCATCAAGGAGTTCCAGAGCCTCACCATGGACTCTACCACCGGCGCAGCTGCCTTCACGCGTCGCGTCCTCGACCTCGCTCGGCGCCTGGCGGCTCTTGGCGTATCGTACCCGGACCCTGTGCTCTGCTGCCACCTCCTTGAAGGCTTGACTTCTGCCTTCGACACCCATAAGATCGCCTACATGCAGCTGATCGACAAGCGCATCACCCCGGCTGAAGTCGCCCAGTGGATTATCACCACCGAGGCCGACCTCCTGCGCCATTCCTCCTCCACTGCCGCTGTTGCTCAGCAGCGCAACACCAGGGGAGGGCGTGGGGGAGGGCGTGGCGCTGGTCGTGGTGGTGGCGCGGGTCGTGGTACCAATGGCGCAGGACGTGGTGCAGCAGCCCCCTTTCCTCCTTGCCAGTATCTCCCTCGCTATGGCCCCACGCGGGGTCAGCGCTGCGGCCAGACCACTCATGCCACTGATTCTTGCTTCAAAGCGCTCAGTGATGAGTGGTTTGCCCGCGGCAACACCGGCACCCCCCCCCGCTGGTCCTCCCTCTCCCCTCGCCCCACTCCTCAGGAGGTTCGTACCTCCCCTCTTTTTCAGCCCGTCTCCTCCCCCTTGGCCCACCAGGCCATCTCTCAGCAACAGCAGCAGCAGCAGACACCGCAGCAGATCCTGCCGCAGCCGTTTCAGCAGCAGCAGCAGCAGTTCCAGCAGCAGCAGTTCCAGCAGCAGCAGTTCCAGCAGCAGCAGCAGCAGTTCCAGCAGCAGCAGCAGCAGGGGCAGCATCACCTCTTCTCCCAGTTGCAGCAGCAGCTCCACCAGCTCCAGCAACAGCTTGACCTCCAGTCGCAGCTCCCCCTTGCACCTCCTCCTATGGCTCCCCCCCAGCAGCCCTACCCCGCTTGGACAGCCGGCACCGCCGCTTCCGCAGCTCACCTCTCGGGCGCGTCTCCCGCGCCCTCAGCCACAGGCAGTGTGACTCCCTTCCCCTCCTCTGGTTTTGTTGGCATGGTTAGTCAGGCTGGAACCCCCGCCCCTTCCATGTATTCGGCTGCTATTAATGAGAATGTGATTCAGTACTCCGTCCCACCTCCTCCCCCACATCCTCCCCCCTCCACCACGCTGGACTTTGTCCTTGACAGTGGAGCCACCGAGTCCGTCCTTCGTGATGCTGGTACCCTTCACCCTCTCCCAGCCCCCACCTCCCTCCTTGGTGCCGATTCCAGCTTCTCTATTCCCTGTCGCCACACCTCTACCCTCCCCTGTCCCCTCTTCCCCTCAGGTACCGTCACTGGTTTACACATCCCCTCCCTCCGTACTAACCTCCTCTCCCAGCGATCCCTGCAGCAGGCCGGTATCACCACCGTCTTCCCAGGTCGCGCTAATCACTGCCTCCTATACCATCCCACAGGTCGCCTCCTCTCCCGTATTCCCTTTTGTCCTCGCTCCCGCCTATATACCCTTCGAGTTCCTCGTCTTCCCTCTGCCCAGGCAGTCTCCCGCTCCCTCCTCCCACCTCACATCTCCCCCCCTCCTCTCCCTCCTTCTAACCCAACCATTCCCCCCCCCCCCCCCTGACCCAACCTGCTCCTGTCGATCCCTCTCCCATCCCACCGTCCTCCTCCACCACAGGCTTGGTCACCCCAACTTTGCCACCCTCCGCTCGACCGTCTCCTCAGGTCTCCTTCGAGGTCTTCCCCTCACCCTCCCTCCCCTCCCTCCCTCCCTTGCCCCTCCCTGCTCCGTCTGTGTCCAGAGCAAGCTCAAGCAGCTGCCGCATCGGAGTTCCCCCTCCGCTGCTGCTCAGCCGCTTGATCTTGTTCACATGGACCTCTGGGGCCCCAACCCCTCCCCTTCCCGCCAGGGTCATCGCTACATGCTTGTTCTGGTCGATGATCACAGCCGATATTCTTCCGTCTCCCTTCTTCGCTCGAAGGGTGACGCTCCGACTGCGATCATCGCCTGGCTCAAGCAGGCGAGCACCCACTTTGGCCGCCCTGTGCGCCGCCTTCACTCTGATGGCGGTGGCGAATTCCTTAATCGTCAGGTAGCCTCCTACTGTGAGCTTCATGGCATTCGCCAGACTCACACCCTCCCCCACTCCCCCCAGCAGAACGGTGTGGCCGAGAGCCGTGTTCGGGAGATCACCAAGATTGCTCGGTGTCTCCTCGTCCATGCCTCTTGCCCCCCTTCTCTGTGGGGCTATGCCCTCCTTCACGCCACCCTCCTTACTAACCTGTACCCCCACCCTATCCTTCCCTCCACCACTCCCACCGAGCTCTGGACGTCGGCCAAGCCTGACGTCTCCTCCCTCCGTGTGTGGGGCTCCAGGGCGTATGTCCTCATTCACCCTGCGGACCGCCCCCGCACCATGGGAAAGCTCGCCTCCCGTACCCTCCCCTGCATCTTCCTTGGTCATAATCCCTCCTCACCGGACTACCTCTTCCTTCACCCCCCCTCAGGTCGTTTCCTCCGCAGTCGGGATGCAGTCTTTGATGAGTCCACACCCTACTATTCCACTCCTCCCCCCACTGACCCTCTCGCCCCTTCTCCCAGACCCCTCAACTGGTCCGACACTATCCCACCCCCTCTTCTCCCTCCCCCTCCCATCCTCCCCCCCGCTCCGCCTCCTCCATTCCCCGCCGCCTCGGCCCCTAGTGCTCCCCCCTCCTCTGGTGACATATTTGACCCTGACCCTTTTTTCCCCCCCGCCTCCCCGTCCCACTCCTCCCCCTCCGCTCCCTCCCATCCTCCCCCCTCCCCTCCTCCCCCCTCTCCCCCGCGACCCCCTCCCCCCTGCGTCCCACCCGCTCCATCCTCACCCGGTATCCCCACACCAGGTCGCGTGACGCAGTCCTAGGTGCCCCGCCTCCTGTTATCCTCTCTTCCTCTACCTTGCCTCCTCTCTCCCCTCTCATGGACCTCCTTTTTCAGACAGTCTTACAACAAAACACTAGCCCAACCCTGCCGTCGAGCTCCAGTACAGCAGTCCCAACAGCAGCAGCAACAGCTGCAGCAGCAGTTCCACCCACCGCAGCAGCACCAGCAGCAGCAGCCGTCACTTCTTCCTCGCCTTCACCCGCAGCAGCAGCAGCGGCGGCAGCAGACGCAGCAGTAGCAGCCGCCTCAGCAGCAGCAGCAGCAGATGCATCCTCAGCAGCAGCAGCAGCAGCAGTCCTCCCATTCATTTTCCACTCCTCCCTCCTCGAGGACTCCCATGAGGAGTTCCTCAACCTCCACATGCATGATCCAGCCGTCCTACCCATCTCCCCTGACCTCAGCGGCACACCAGTCTTCGCCTTCTCCTCCGCCCCCACCATCTTCGTCCCCGCCACGTATGAGGAGGCCATGGCGTGCCCTGACGCTCACCTCTGGCTCGCGGCCATCCTCAAGGAGTTGGAGGCGTTTATTGCCAACTCCTCCTTTGTGGATGTGCCCCGCCCTCCCTCTACCACGAACGTAGTCAAAGGGAAGTGGGTGTTTCGGGTGAAGCAGCTTCCTGGCGAGCCGCCGGTCTACAAGGCCCGCTACGTCGCCAAGGGCTTCACCCAGCGCTACGCTGTCGACTTCTTCGACACCTTCTCTCCCACCGCCAAGCCCGCTACCATTCGCGCAGTCCTCGACCTCGCTGCTCGCCTCAACATGGAGATTCACTCCATGGACGTCTCCAACGCCTTCCTCCAGGGGGTCTTGCGCGAGCTCATTTACATGGAGCGTCCTGCAGGCTTCCACCTCCCCTTTCCTTCCGACTCTGTCTGGCAGCTGCGTCGGCCGGTCTATGGGCTCAAGCAGGCACCAAGGGAATGGCATGCCAAGCTTGCTGCCACCCTCGCCGAGCTTGGCTTCAGCACCTCCCGTGCCGACCCCAGCCTCTTCCTCCGTACCTCCCCCTCCCCCTTCTACATCCTCGTCTATGTCGACGATATGATCCTCATCACTGCCGACTCCGCCGAGCTCGAGCGCGTCAAGCGTGAGCTTGGCAGCCGGCTCAAGTGTAAGGATCTAGGGGGGCTGCAGCACTATCTCGGCATGGAGATTACCCGCGACCGTACTGCTCGCACCATCTCCCTCTCCCAGGGCCACTACCTGCAGCAGGTCCTGGAGCGGTTCGACATGGCTCGAGGCACCCCTCAGGTCACCCCTCTTCCTGTTGGGCACCATCTCACTCCCCTCACCTCCCCCTCCTCCTCCTCCCACCCCTACGCTGAGCTCATCGGCTCTCTCATGTATGCCATGGTCTCCACCCGCCCTGACCTAGCATACCCCATCAGCGTTTTGGCCCGCTTCGTTGGTACCGGCAAGCATGATGCCGCCCACTGGCAAGCGGCCAAGCGTGTCCTCCGCTACCTTCGGGGGACCAAGGACTACGTCCTTACCCTTGGCGGCCCCTCCCCTCCCCTCCTCACTGGCTACTCTGATTCCTCCTGGGCTGACTCTAGGCCTGACCGCCGCTCCTCTCAGGGCTATGGCTTCTCTCTTGGCAGCGGCCTCATCAGCTGGCGCTCCACCCGCTCCTCCTCCATTGCCCTCTCCTCCTGCGAAGCAGAGCTGTATGCCGCTACCATGGCTGCGCAAGAGGCCCGCTGGCTCTCCTTCCTTCTTGAGGAGCTTGGTGCCCCTCAGCGCTGTCCCACCATCTGGTGCGACAACGCCAGCACCATCCACCTCACGAAGGATGCTGTGTTCCACGGGCGCTCCAAGCACATTGAGCTTCGCCACTACTTCATTCGCGAGCTTGTGCAGGGTGGCCACCTCCAGCTGGGCAAGATTGACTCTGCTGCCAATCTTGCCGACATCTTCACCAAAGCCCTCCCCCACGCCGCCCACTCATCCCTCCTTCGCCTTCTTGGCCTCGCTCCCCCCGTTCCCTCGTCCGCCTCCTGATTCAAGCCCTCTAGTCTTATGCATGTTGGGGGGTTGTGTTGTAAAATATATATCTATACAACATGCATGCCTAGATTAGGAGGTGTAGTCATTATAATTATTGGGGGGTTGTTGGTTGGGTTGACCAACCCCACATTTGGGTTGGTCAAGATTGGATTTGGTCCTAGACATTTGGTTGGCACTATTCCAACCAAATGGTCTTTGGTCCTAGGAACCAACCAATCACCAAGCACCACACTTTGTGGTTGCTTGCCTTCCAAGCAATCTCTCTCATTGGTCCACATTGTGACCAATAGGAGAGCACCACACTTTTGTGGTTGCTTGCCCTACAAGCAACCTCCCCCATTGGCCCACTTTATGGCCAATAGGAGAGCTTCCCTTCCAACTCTTCCTTGCTCCTTGTTTTGTACAAAAAGAGCCTCTCGGCTCCCTACTCAATTCAACTTTTCTCTTCCAAGCTAGTTCTTTCATACGGCACTACGTACGTGCTTATACACACACGCTTTATATCCACACGCCCGTACGGCACTACGTACGTGCTTATACACACACGCTTTATATCCACACGCCAGTACGGCACTACGTACGTGCTTATACACACACCCCTCACACCTTCCACCGCGCTCACATTTCTCACCCCTCACACCTTCCACCGCGCTCACATTTCTCACCCCTCACACCCCTTTCACTTCTCGCTGCAGAGTGCCCTTCCCCACTCGCAGCGGGAACACTGCACCACCACATCCCACCTCTCACCACCCCTCCCACCTCTCTTTGGCCTCAACCACTACAAGCAGAGACACCACTGCTAGCCCCTCACTCCCTCTCCCACACCTCTCACCACCCGTCCCATCCCTCTCAACCCTTCTCCCATCCCTCTCACCCCTCTCACCCCTTCTCCCATCCCTCTCAACCCTTCTCCCATCCCTTCCACTCCTCTGATCCCTCTCACCACCACCGCTTCCATCCCTCTCGTCCCGCCCACCCCTCTCACCTCTCGCTGCACTCGCTGCAGGTTGCCCTCCCCCACTACCAGCGGAGACACCAGCGTCTGGAGCAGGAGGAAGGGAGCAAGAGAAGGAACGTGAGAAGCAAAGGAGCAGGTATTTGTTGAAAGAGCTTCACGATCACAAGTATGAGGTGTGCGCTGGACTGGAAGGTGTGTGCTGTGATTTGGAGGAGGAAGGTGTGCTGTGCTCTGGAAGGTGTATAAACACAGTTTCCCTTATTCCTGCCTGTTCCTCAATAAACCTACCCTCCACAGATCCAGGCTTCGCCCAATGTCTTCATACAACTTCTCCAACTCTCTCCCCTTAAACTCTTTACGACCCTTTCTCCTCCTTCTCCTCCTCCTCTCCCCGCCTCTCTCTCTCCAATGAGCCGCCTCATCCAGCCCTCGCCCTGGTGCCTCCCCTTCAGATTCCGTTCCCCCTCCACTCGCTGGGGAAGGCGCGGCACCTGCTCTTGCTGCTGCTGCTCTTGCTGCTGCTGCTCTTGCTGCTGCTGCTGCTGCTGCTGCTGCTGCTGCTGTCAGAACCTCCCCTTTCCCAGTTTGCAAACGTGTTTCTTCTCTGGCTGATGCTGCTCCTGCTGCCGATGCTGCCACATAGCCCTGTGAATCAAACACGTTTGCTGCCGATGCTGCCGATGTTCCGTCTGCTGCCACATAGCCCTGTGAATCAAACACGTTTGAAGGCGCCACGCGCCCGAGTGGCGGCACGGGATTGGTCGGAGCAAAGCCGTGCGTCTGAATGATGGCAGCAATGTCCACGTCAGCTTCTAGTAGAACCGTGTGGCCACTGGGGGAAGCGAGGGCAAGTGGGAAACGTGTTACAAAAATAGAAAAATTAGAACAGTGTTATGAAGTAATAAAGTGTAACGTGTATGACACAGCTGCAACTACAACAATGAGATCGAGGCAGAAAATACATGATAAAAAGCAGGAGAACAGTATAGATGGAATGAGACGAGGCGAAAGAAATAGATAGTGAGGAAAGGAGGAGCACGGAAAACTCGATACCTGGAGGGAAGGATGACTCGCTTGCTGTTGGGCAGCAGCGCTAGCAGTCTGCCTGTCTCTGGCACCGCTGGCAAAACTCTGTCCTTGGATGAGGCGATCTGGACGGGTGAGAGAGGGAAGGGGGAATTGGAAAGGCAGGCATGGAGGCAGTGGAAACACGGGCATAGAGGGATAGAAAGCAGCAATAGCAGTCTGCTTGCCTCAAGCACTGCTGGCAAAGCTCTGTCCTTAGATGAAGCCATCTGGAAGGGTGAGGAGGGCATAGAGGCAGTTGGACAGACAGGCGCGGAGAGATTGCACGCAGCAAGAGCAGGAGGAGCGTGTGAGCGGATCGCAGCGCGGCGAACACAGTCCTGACAGGTCATGAGCAGGGAGAGGAGAGCCCATTGTGACTCTCAAAGGGCGCCCCACCGGAACAATAACCAAGCAAATGGCTCAACGCCATCAAGCAATTTCCTGACAGCGCGTTCTACCAGTAGAATGGGCACAGCAACCGAAGTCTAAACACAATCAGACAGCTGCGACTGGTCTCGCAGCATGAGGCAAGGCGTTAGACATGAGCAAAACACGATTGTGATTTAAATCGCATCGCGAAGGGGGGTGGTTAAGAAAAAAGAACACAAGAAAATGATGGGATTCAAAATCGCATCGCGCGATCTAGATTTTTAGAAACTGTAAATCTCACATCGCGTTTTGAGGTTGATTTAGATTTAAAATAGCATGCGATGATAAAAAAAAAAAGCGCGATGCGATATTTAATCGCATCGCTTTCCTGTCCAGGAAAAAAAGGGGGGGGTTCCCTGCACATTAAAGCACCGGCAGATACAAGGTTCAGGGTAAATAAATTGTATGATAAGAAAATGGGTTTCACACAGGGGCAAGCCCCCGTGGTATGGGGGCCAGATTTTTGGTTTTGCGTTTTTTCCCCCTGGCGAGAATTCGCGGTGCGATGTACTTCGACATCGCGCGATTAAATAAAAATCGCATACCGCGTTTAAATCACATTTTTTTACGCGCGGTTAAAATCGATTAAAAAAAAAATCGCGCTATAAACTGAAAATCGGATCACGCGATTTTCCCAAAAAAAGAAAGAAAGAAAGAAAGAAAAAACCTCAATTGTAAAGACGCGATCTATTGCGATGCGATGCGATTTATTTTGCTCATGTCTACAAGGCGTCCTACCAGCAGAGTGGGCGTGTGAATTGACTTGAGCACCCCATCGGACAGCCCAGACTGGTCGTTGAGGAGGGACAGCCGCCACGACGCACATGCAGCTGGCACATAGTCTATCGGCGACAGCACCCGCAGTGACAACGCTCCTCCCCCTCCTCCTTTGCTCCCCCCTCCCCCGCCTGCTGCTGCTGAGCTGGCTGCTGCTGCAGGCGGTTGCACTCTGCTGCGCTTCACCAGCAGCGGCAGGGCCACGTCCTGGGATGGAGGGGATGGAGGTAAGGTGGGGTGAAAGGGCCAGACTGATATGAAACCCCGTGGGGTGAATTGACTGCTGAAGTGTTGCACTCTGCTGCGCTTCACCAGCAGCGGCAGGGCCACGTCCTGGGATGGAGGGGATGGTGGTAAGACGGGATGACAGGCTGATATGGCGGGGTGAAAGGGCCAGACTGATGCGAGAGCCCGTGGGGTGAATTGACAGCTGCAGGGGGTTGCGCTCAACTGCGTGTCACCAGCAGTGGCAGGGCCACGTCCTGGGATGGAGGGAAGGCAGGTAAGACGGGGTGAAAGGGCCAGACTGATACGAAACCCCGTCGGGTGAATTGACTGCTGAAGTGTTGCACTCAACTGCTCCTCACCAGCAGCAGCAGGGCCACGTCCTGGGATGGAGGGGATGGAGGTAATGTGGGGTGAAAGGGTCAGACTGAGTGTGAGTGAGGGAAGCACAAAGTGACTCTCGAGTACACTCAGCCGTGTGCCAGTGGAGGGGGAGGAAGAAGTGGAGAGAGAAGGCTTATCCCAGCAGCAAGTGTGAGGAAAGCAAGACGCGACTCTTGAGTCCACTCGGAAGTGTGCCTGTGGAGGGAGGAGGAAGAGGTGGGGAGAAAACAAAACCAGCACAGCGGAGTGCGAGGAACAAGTGAGGAAACGAGTGAGGAAACGAGTGAGGAAACGAGTGAGAGAACCAGTGAGAAACGAGTGAGGAAACGAGTGAGGAAACGAGTGAGAAAACGAGTGAGGAAACGAGTGAGGAAACGAGTGAGAAAACGAGTGAGGAAACGAGTGAGGAAACGAGTGAGGAAACGAGTGAGGAAACGAGTGAGAAAACGAGTGAGGAAACGAGTGAGGAAACGAGTGAGGAAACGAGTGAGGAAACGAGTGAGAGAACCAGTGAGAAACGAGTGAGGAAACGAGTGAGGAAACGAGTGAGAAAACGAGTGAGGAAACGAGTGAGGAAACGAGTGAGAAAACGAGTGAGGAAACGAGTGAGGAAACGAGTGAGGAAACGAGTGAGGAAACGAGTGAGAAAACGAGTGAGGAAACGAGTGAGGAAACGAGTGAGGAAAGTAATCTGAGGGAAAGCAATCTGAGGGAAAGCAATCTGAGGGAAAGCAAACGGAAGGAAAGTGGATCTGACCTGAGCGAACTCGTAGAGGGGCGGTGGGAAGATGGCGAGGAGGCCGGTGGCCACACAGAGGCTCACGAGAGGGTTGTTGCTGGGGAAGGCTGTAGCTGGGTTGATCTGATTGTGGTGGTAATGGTGGTGGTGACAAGGCAAGAAAAAGGCTCAGGGTGAATGGGAGCCATGTGAGAAAGCAAAGCATGGCAGAAGTAAGCCCAATGTAAGGAAGGAGGATTACCCCGTGTGGGTATTACACAGACAGCACAAGGGGCGCGTACCAATACACACAGACAGCAAAAGGGGCGTGTACCCCCCTTCCCCTCCCCGCCCTCTCCTTACCCGCTGCGTTATCCATCTTACCAGCACGAGGCGGTGGAAGAGGGTGGGGTTGGCTGCTGCAATGCGCAGAGCCAGACACGCCCCGAATGATTCCGCCAGCACTGTCACTTCCCGAGTCCCCTCCCCGCCTTCGCTCGCAGCCTGCTGTATCAGTGGGGTGACTCGGCGAACCAGCTCTCGCCACGTGGAGCGGTCAGTGGTGGGGATGTAGAGGGAGCGGATGTCAAAGCTGGAAGGAGGGAACGGGGGAGGGGGAAGGGGGAGGGGGAAGGGGGAGGGGGAAGGGGGAGGGGGAAGGGGGAGGGGGAAGGGGGAGGGGGAAGGGGGAGGGGGAAGGGGAGGGGAAGGGGGAGGGGGAAGGGGGAGGGGGAAGGGGGAGGGGAAGGGGAGGGGGAAGGGGTAGGGGGAAGGGGTAGGGGGAGGGGTAGGGGGGTTAAAGGGGAGGGGGAGGGGGAAGGGGTAGGGGGGTTAAAGGGGAGGGGGGACGAGAGGGGAGGTGGGAGGGGGACGAGAGGGGAGGTGGGAGGGGGGAGGGAGGTGGGTGTCTGAACCATTGCCACGTGGAGCGGTCAGTGGAGGGGGTGTAGAGGGAGCGGATGTCAAAGCTGGAAAGGAGGGGGATGAGAGGGGCGGCAAGGGAGCTTCGAGAGTTTTATTAGAGGCCATGTGGATGGTAGTGGGGATGTAGCGGGCGCGGATGTCAAAGGTGGAGCGGGGGGACGGGTAGAGAGGGAGAGGGAGAGTGGTAGGGAGGGGGGGGGCATAGCGGAAAGTCCTGAGCGGCCAGTGGTGGGGGATGCAGAGGTGTAGAGGGAACGGATGCCAAAGGTGGAGGGGGCCGGGGGAAAGGGAAAGGGAGAGGGAAAGCAGAGGGACAGAGGGGATGAACGAACGAGAGTAGCCGATACATGCTTCCAGTCACCATGAGGCGCAGTTGGTGGTGGGGGAAACAGGGGGAAGGGAAGAAGCTGGAGATGGGGGAACGGTGACGGTGGGGGGGAAGGCGGGATGGTAGGGTGGGGGGGGAAGGCGGGGTGGTAGGGTGGGGGGGGAAGGCGGAGTGATAGGGTGGGGGGGGAAGGCGGGGTGGTAGGGTGGGGGGAGGTTTGTTGAGAGAGTATGGGAGACGGAGAGAGAGAGGGCGAGTGAACCAGGGAAATGAAGTGGTGAGTGGTAACCTATCATGCATACCCATCATGCATACCCATCATGCATACCCATCATGCATACCCATCATGCATACCCATCATGCATACCCATCATGCATACCCATCATGCATACCCATCATGCATACCCATCATGCATACCCATCATGCATACCCATCATGCATACCCATCATGCATACCCATCATGCATACCTATCATGCATACCCATCATGCATACCCATCATGCATACCCATCATGCATACCCATCATGCATACCCATCATGCATACCCATCAAGCATGCCCATCATGTATACCCATTATGCGTACCCATCATGCATACCCATCATATCCATCATGCGTACCCATCATGCATACCCATCATACCCATCATGCATACTCATCATGGATACCCATCATGCACACACATTATGAATACCCCCCTGATGAGGGCAAACCCAACCATACAAGCCAGCACACACACTTGGCACATTTTGACACACCAACCCCAACATACTGCATCCTCCACACACCCGGCACGTGTGAGCGATCGGATCTGAGGCTGCAGGCACTGCCCAGTGCCGTCCATTCCCGGCAGATACACCAAAAGCGGCCGCCCAGAAGCCGCACCTGTCGGGTACCCGGACTGCTCCTGAGGCCGAAAAAGGCAAATTTCGCCGCCCAGAGCCGTGAAATCCGGAACTGGGCATGCCGGCGACACGTCATCTAGACCCGAATCGGCACCTGTTGACCAATCAGGAGATGACTGTAATGATGATGGTAATGGAGCTGACGATAATGGACTATCCCCGCTTGTGGCATTTTCGTCTTCGTTAAAAGCGTCGAACTTGGCCGCTATGGAACAGGTAAGGCTACGCCCTCTGCTGCTATTTACTGGCCCTCCTGCAGACAAATAACCTCGTCGCTTGATGAAGAGCGAATCGTTTGGTAAGCTTATTAATATCGGAGCAGTGTTGTACCGGAGCACTCTAAAACGCAAACAGCAGCCTACTTCACGGCGCTTCCCTAGTGCTATCGACGCAGTGCCGCCAAAAGCAGACTCGCCAATGGGAAAGTGACAGCTGGCAGAGGAGACCATACGCGTGACACGCGGGACCCCGTGTCCTGTTGAGGAGTCACGGCGAGAATTCACGCCACTAAGCGCGTGACGGGGTTGAGCGGAATGGATTGAGCGGTGAGACGGAGTGACGGGCGGTACGGAATGGCCTGTCCGCATCGCCGCGGAGATCGAATTGTTGGCCATGACACGGATTTTGCAGTGAATTCGTGGCCGCACCCAGACCCTATCTCCAGCGTCGGTCCTATAGAAAAGCGAATGGCGTCGCAATGCGTATTTGAGGGCTCATTGCGCCATGACGACAGTGTAAACACGAGACGAAGTAATGCTGAGCAAGTTCAACTTGCGAGAAGCAACGCTTCAACTTGGAATGGAGGGGGAGGTGAATGTTCTGGCGAAAAGTTAGGCGGTCGCTACAGGGGTTGGTGAGCTGACCCGTGGGACAGGTCGACCTGACGGCCACTGCGCGACCACTGACGGCAGGTGGCACTAGCGAGTCTGGGCGAGATTTGTTAGCCGTTTGATCGTCGCAAAACTAAGTCGTGGGGCATTACAATTGGTTTGCGAGACTGAGACTGACTGGTAGACGCTATTATCGCCGGGTTTGGGAGAGCGGGAAATATTGCCGCCAGCGTCAAACTCCCTGACACCCGGGCAGTATGTGCTTCCACGTGTCAGGTAGGGCTGTATCACATGCTTGACACGCGGTATAACTTGGCCCTAATGCAGTTTCACTTTCGGGGAGGGACCTGGGGCTGGGGGGCTGAGGGCGTGCCTTTTTTGCATGCACTCGCGGGCATCGGCAGGAAAAACCGACGCTGGCATCCTAGCTGGTTCGGTTTTGGAAAAACGAAACCCAATCGAACTCGCCACCTGTCGTCAAAACAACCAAACTTTCACAATGTCTGTTATGATATAGACAGTATGTGCTACATTGCGTCCGGCTCTCCGATCATTTTCCGATCTCGGCACTGTAGAAAGATGGTAACCTGACAGCTACAGAAGCCTCCAAATAGTCATGTAGCAGATTGGAGGGCAGGATCACTTTCGAAGCAAAACCGGGAATCAATCGCACGTCAAAAACACTAACAAACCTCCTCCACAAAGTCCCAGATAGCCTACCCCAAATGCCACGAAATCATAAGCGCATCGCCAGCTTGCCTTTGCGAAAAATGCTGGGTGGACTCGAGTCGCGGTGTACTGTGTGTTGGAAATTGCGAATCACCTGGGAGGGTTGCTGGGTTTTCACGAAGTGTTCTGCGAAATGCTATGCTATCCAGCTGCAAATCGATACTCGAGATCGGAAGTTGCAAATCTGGGACATGGCTATGTAGCGAAAGTGGTTGATATTGCAGATCGTTTTTACTCAGACAGAATCGATATCCCCCGAAACGGACGCAATGTAGCGCGCCCTAATAATGACGTGAGAATACAAGGTCGCTATTGCAATGAAGGCACGAGGTTATATGGGGGTTGGCGTGCTAGGGCGATAACCTCGGGACATGGGCAGGTTCGGCAATGTGGCGACAGTGCCAGACGCGACTCGGGAAAGGATTGAGCCGACAAATGAGGCCGAACGTAACGAGTCGAGGAGTTCGGGTATACGCGTTAGCGTACGACTCAGTAAGGAATGGAAATTCCTTACACTACCTCCACCTCCTAAACGAGGCTGCGGACATCGGAAACATTCCGACGCTGATAATACGCTGTTATAATCGGGTGTGATTGTATATCAGCGAGGGGCACCCATCTGTCATCCTCAAACGTCCGATCACGCCAGCGGATTGAAAAATCCACCATCTAACGGTTCTGCTGCGTGGTTACGCGATGGCAGAGAATTTTCCGAGGCTCGGTTTTCGATTCCTGTAGGGGCATCAACTGCGGGACGATTCGCTATCTTGCCAAATCCGACGAACTCGGGACATAGGGTCGTAAGAGGCTGACGTGGAAAGCCGGGTGGTGACACTAGTCAGCCGGGAGTTGGAGGTGTGCTGTGACAGGTGTCACCATGCTGGTCACTTGAAAAGGTCCACAGTAGCGGGGGCAGAGTTGGCTCGAAATCGGCAGGCACAAGTTGCGAATGTCGAGTAACACGAGGTCCCCCACTTTGTAGGTGACATCACGTCGGTGGTGATCGGCTTGTCGGCTTGCAGGTTGGCGTTCCGAATGGCCTCGGTTGCTTTTTCTCGGGCGGCAAGGATGTCTTGCTGGGACTGGGGCACTGGGGTCTCGATATTGGGTAGTTTGGTTGACTCGTTCGGTCTGCTCGTCGGTCTGTGGGTGGTAGGCGGAGGAAAACTGTACTTTGGTGGTGAACTGGTCCCACATGTGGCGCCAAAAATTCTATGTGAATTTCGGGTCTCGGTCAGAAATGATGGCGGTGGGTAATCCGTGCAGTCGGATGACGTTGGCGATGAACAGTTGGACAGTATGCTCAGCTGTAACTTTCTGTTGGCAGACGATGAAGTGCGCCATTCTCGTGAGTCGGTTAACAACCATGAGGATGGCGTCGTTTCCGCTGGGACTGGCCAGTAGTCCTGTCACGTAGTCCATCCTGATGTATTGTCAGGGTTGCTTGAGCGGATCCAACGGCTGTAGTAGTCCGGGTGCTCGCTGATGGAATGATTTCATGATTTGGCAGGCGGTGCAGGAGGATACGTACTTGCGCATGTCAGCCATCTTGGACCAGAAATAATGGCACTGCATCGTCTTCATGGTTTTGTCGACTGTGAAGTGGCAGGAGGTTGGATTGTCGTTTGTCTCCTGGATAAGAAGGGTACGAAGTAAATCGTAGCCAGTAACCCTGAGGCGAGAAGTGTCTCGCTTAGTCTAGTAAGGGCCGGAAGCGGTCGTGTGCTGTTGGTGAATGGCTAAGCGGAAGAATGGGTCATTTTTGTAACCGTGGATAAATAGGCCTGTGAGGAGTGGGTTGGTCTGGGAAACTAGTATGGCGGCTGTATGGGCAGTGGGGCGGGTCAGGGCATTGGTGATGACTGTACATGGATGGTCAGGATCGGAGATGCGAAGGACGGGCGGACGTGAGGGCGATCTTCAGTTGGTCAAATGCAGCTTGCTGCTTCTCCCCCCACCAAAAACAATCGTGATCATTCAGTTGGTCGGTTCGCGGGGCGGATAACCCAGCCATATTGGGGATAAAGCGGCGGACGTAATTTACGAATAAAAAAAAACTCTACAGCTCCTTGACGTTTCACGGCTGCTTCCACTCCTGTATGGTCTGAATTTTCTTCGAGTCGATCTTTACGCCTTCGGTGGAGACGATGTGTCCCAAAAACTCCAACTCCTTCTTAAGAAATTCACACTTCGACCCCTTTATGATTAGCCGGTTCTTGTGCAGCAGCGTGAAGACTGCATCAAGATCTTGTACGTGCTGTTCAATGCTTCTGCTGTGGATCAAATTGTCGTCGAGGTAGATGATTACACACTTGTCTAAGAAATTCCTTGAAAATTCTATTCATGGTCATCTGGAATGTTGAAGGCGCGTTCGTGAGGCCAAAAGGCATCACCATGTACTCGTAGCTACCGTATCGTGTTTGGAACGCAGTCTTGTTATAAACTTCGGTGGCGACGCAAATTTGGTGGTAACCTCTTTGTTAAACGATCTTCGAGAAAAGCCTAGCTCCGCGAAGTTGGTCGAGAAGCTCGTTGGCACGCGGAATCGGGTAGCGGGATTTGATGGTGATCTGGTTGAGCGCGCGGTAGTCAATACACATTTTGAATCCTCCATCATTCTGCGTCAATACACATTTTGTGCTGGGCCGGATGAATCCCTTCTCCAGTAAGTAATCCAGCGGCTGGGGTAATTCCTCGAGTTCTGGTTGGCTGAGCCGAAACTGGCGCTATACAGCCGGTTGGGCGCCTGGTTCCATATCGATTCGGTGGTCCACAGGTCGGCTCGGCGAGAGTCCAGCTGGCAGATTGTCCGGAAAAATCTGCGAGTACTTTCGAATAAGGTCCGTCAAATCCGGAAGGAAGGCCTTGCACAGCTTTTCAGTGTCTTCGTTCTCGACCGTCGATGCCAGCTCACGAAGATCAATGGTGTACGCTTCAGCTCCAGCGTACAACGCCTTCTTGAAGGTGATTGCATGGACTTGGGTGCTTCGCATGTGAGGCCCTGTCCACTTGGGCAGCTCTCTGGATATTCCATCGAGCTTGATGCTGCAACCGTCCGTCGTCCAGTCGATCTTCGGATTGTACCATCGCAACCAAGCACGTCCCAGCAGCACGTCGCACCCGTCAAGAGTCTTCACTAGCAGCCCCATCCGAAATTTTACGTGCTCCCCACAGGCAAAGCTTACGTTCTCCACCCATTCCCGTATTGCCAGCGGCGTGCCATCTACCAGTCGGGCGTTAATCTCAGGTAAACAGCTTAGTAAGGGTATACCCAATTTCTTAGCATTGTCCAGCTGTATGAGGTTGTGACTCACGCCTCCATCAATGAAAACCTTTAGAAACACTCTGTTGACTTTACCCTTCACCAACACTGGGTGATCAGCAACTTCTTCCGCAATATAATTCTGAAGGGCTATGAATTCTTGGCAATTGCGTCGGATAGGATTCGGTCGGCCACAGTGGTAGCGTCGCCCCGTATTTCGTGGAGCAACTGCGTAAATATCCACTACGTCCACCCCTTCTATCGTGGCGCGCGGGTTCTGTTCTCGAGGGTGACCTCCGCCGAAGAAGTTCGTCCTCGGCTTCGTGATCAAATCAGTGGCTTCGGCGAGCTGGATGTAGTCTTGTAACCGCTTCGCAGGGTATTGCAGTTTTTTCTGGTATTGAACTTCAGGCTTGAGGCCGGCCATGTACCCGTCAACCTTCTCCAACTCGTCCATGAAGCCACATCTGTCCACCAACGTCAAGAATGACGCGGTATATTCGGACACAGATCCCAGCTGCTTCCACATGCGTAGAGTTTCGCGTGCCTTGTCTGAGTCAGGGGCGTGCTCAAACCACTTGCGAAGCTCTGCACACCACGTTGCCCACGTACGAATGTGGGTCGCTCTGAACAACAAGTCTGCCTCGTCCTCGTTGCCAAATTCTTCGGACCACTCGTACTATCCTTCTGTGCGAGTTCCACCACTATAAAGCGGCCCCTTGCAACAGTGTTAACACGTAGCTGGTCCGCTTCTAATCGTCTCTAATGCTCGCCGCGTTAAAATATATATATTCATGGCGAATATCCACTGCCGCACTGTCACGGTGGGTCGAAATGAGAGGGTTGCTGATATTTTACGCCGCCACTTGTCGAGCGCGGGGCTGTTGCCGCATGTCGTGCCAGCTCCACTGACGACGGTTGCTGCTCACCCGCCTCGTTTCGTGCATCGTCGCCCGGCTTCTCTGGACGTTTTTTACGCCTGGCAAAGTTCCGGGTTCTCGTCGCAGAGGTCCTTAACGACGCTTGTTAGGTTCTTCGGCTGCTCCATTAATGCTTGCGGGTCCACATTTTCCCAGGCAAGGTTCGCAGCAGTCGAGATGATCTATTCATCAACTGTCGAATCTACCTGGGCCATGGCGGTCAGGACGGGGCAAAAGCTAGCGCACACGCTGTAGTTGTTGGCGTAAGAACATTATGCTGTTTGGGATTAGAAATGAATGAATATTGGGAGAAAAGTATAGACCATAAATCTGTGTTCTTTAGAACATGATAAGAAAGATGCAGCGTGTGCGCTAGCTTCTGCCCCGTCTTGACCGCCAACAACATGGGCTTTAACCTGGGGTTAAACACAGAGTATGAACCTGGGCTTTAACCTGGGGTTAAACACAGAGTATGAACACAGGTTAAAGCCCAGGTCCCAAATCAGTCAGCTGCGCACCAAACTAGGCCCAGTTTTATATATTTTTTGCTCCAAAAAGGTGCCCCAACCTTGGCTTCGCCACAGAAGTGACGCAAAGTTGCTCTTGCTGAATCTATGGTTGAAATTATATTTGGTAAAATGGGACTCAATCAGGGCCTAATATTGGATTTGAGGCACCCTGAGTGCTCAAGCTCCCCCCCCCCCCCCCCCCCCCCCCCCCCCCCCCCCCCCCCCCCCCCCCCCCCCCCCCCCCCCCCCCCCCCCCCCCCCCCCCCCCCCCCCCCCCCCCCCCCCCTGGGTTTAGCCTGATTTTTTAGGGCCTCCCCCTAGAATTTCGCCGACTTTTCAGGGTTCCCTTTAAAAAAAAAAATCGCTGACTAATCAGAGTAACCTTTTTTTTTTTTTTTTTTTTTTGCTGAGCCAAATCTTCCTATACAGTAATATATTCCATTTCACACTCTTGGCGCTGACCATCCGTTTTGTTTTTGGCGTGCTTCAGGTCAAAAAGCCCCAAGGCCCCAGTAGACACTAGCACCAAATTTGTGGAAGGGCCAATATGTGCCCTCCATCACACAACCCCCAGCAGCACGCAGTAGCGTTAAATTTGTTGCAGTGCCAGCGCTTGCCCTCACACAGTCCCCAGCACACACTACACTAGCCCGAAATTTGGTGAAGGGCAAAAAAATGCCCTCACATAGCACCAAGCAGACATCAATCAGGAGAAACGGACGGACATAACAGCAGGGCCCCTGAATTACGCTTACAAGTTTCAGGGTAGTCCCCCCATACTATGCCGAGGGGACAGGATCCACTTCAATAGTAACGCTGAGCGATCAGAGTTCACTCACAACAAAACCCTCAAATTTTAGGGTTTTGTTGTCGAGTAACCCGCTGGGGTTACCCACTGGGGTTTTTGACATGCTATTAGAGCCTTGGTGACCTGGGTTCAATTCCCAGTGCTAGCGCTGCAGAGGTGCTCGTGTCTTCCACCTATCCCAGTGAGGGGGGGTGTCGAGTGACCCCCTGGGGTTACCCTTGAGAAGATCCTCGGGGAAGGGCCACATGTGCAGAGCCTGGGGGGCTATGGGCGCACTGACCTGCTATTAATAAGCCCTTTTAATTCAATGGTTAGTGGCTGAGTTTCTGACATGGTATCAGAGCGTTGGTGACTTGGGTTCAATTCCCAGTGCTAGCGCTGCAGAGGCGCTTGTGTCTTCCACCTATCCCAGTGAGGGGGGGTGTCGAGTGACTTGCTGGGGTTACCCATGAGAAGATCCTCGGGGAAGGGCCATAGGTGCAGAGCTTGTGGGGCTATGGGCGCACTAACCCGCTATTAAAAAACCCTTTTAACTCAATGGTTATTGTCCAGGGCTTCAGATTGGATCTTGAGGGGCTATTGGCTTAGGGTGCCCCTAGAAGGAGCCCCCGTTTTTCAAGGTCAGGTTTTGGAAGTTGCAATTTTTTTCAGGGCTGATTCTTAGATCGGATCGGACTTCACTGCGTACAAATTGTCACACTACCAGCGTGATTTTGGCAAAGGACCAGTCACGCCTCTCACGCATGCTCCAATTCGCGTCAGACTGCCTGAGTGATTTTGGCGAAGGACCAATCACGCCCCTCACATCTGCTCCAACTCGCGTTACCTGCGTCATTTTGCCTAAGGTCCAGTCGCGCCCCTCACATCTGCTCCAGCTCGCGTCAAACTGACTACGTGATTTTGCCGAAAGACCAATCACGCCCCTCACATCTGCTCCAGCTTGCGTCACCTGCGTCATTTTGGCGAAGGACAAGTCACGCCCCTCACAGCTGCTCCAGCTCGCCTCGACCAGTCAGATCTGATTCCGTTTCAGCCTGATAATTCAGGGTGACTAAAACAAGAACATACAATATTTCAGGCCTGCTCAAATGAGAACTTCTACAATTCAGGCCTAGGAAAAATCAAAAGCTGAAAAAACAGGACGAAAAAAAAAAACACCCTGCTATACAGCATTTCAAGGAATTTTGTTCTGACTTCTGAAGCCCTGTTACTAGCTAAGTTTCTGACATTTGTCTCAAAACTTTTCTGTCTCATCAGGGTCACCCCCGAAAAAAGACATGATTTTATCATGAATCAGGGTAAAAAGCCCGCAATATGAGGCCCTGTTCTCAATGTGTCATTGAGTTTCAGTCGTCGATCGGCCTTTCCAGACCAGGCTCTCGAGATTCAGTGAAACTGGAATCCATTATTCATCTACGGCTGTAATTGTGCTTCCATCAAGTGTGCCTAGTTTAGGCTCCCCTGCTGCGTCAGGCGTATGACCCTTTGCTTTGTTTAGCCTTGGCTCCACCCTAGCTCCTCCGCTCCCAGCCACCACTGCCGCGCTCTCCTTCACTCTCGACTCTGCGCGTCTCGGTGTTTCTTTCGGGACCACACTACGCTTACGCAGCTTGCTGTCCCTGACGCCGTTACCCTTGCAGACCCTTCCTCAGGTCCAGTAGTCGCTCGTAGTTCCACCACTCTCCCCTGTCAAGCAGTTCCTTCGGGCTCTCTTACACGTCTGCACATCCCCTCGTTCTCTAGGAATCTAGTTGGTGTCGGTTGTCTTCAGGACCTCGGCGTTACCACTACGATCCCTGGTCACGAGAAGTACGCTGTCTGTACCGAGGCCGCCACTGGTGCCCCCCTCACCACGTTCCCCCAGGACCCGGTGTCTGGCCTGTTCACGCTGGACACCGCGTCCCCACAGGTTGGGACGCCCCCCCATATGGCAACGTCTACCCACGTTGTTGCGGCTTGCTCTTGTCGGTCGCTTACTTCCCCGTCGCTTCTGTGGCACCACCGCCTCGGTCACCCTAACCTCACACGTCTCCGTCACATGTCTCAGCACGGTCTTGTCTTAGGTCTCCCTGTATCGTTCCCTGCACTCCCCTCCTTGGTAGCGCCTCCGTGCACCCCCTATGTCGAGGGCCGGCTCCGCCATGCCCATCAGTCCTCCTCGTTCCCCCCCACCACTACACCGTTACAGACCCTGCACATGGACGTCTTGGGCCCCGCCCCCCTCCATGGGCCACGTCGTGAACGTTACTTCCTAATGCTTCTCGACAACTACAGTCGCTACACCACCGTGTATCCCTAGAGCGGAAGGCTGACGTGCCCAATGTTCTTATCCCTGTGTTGCGTCTTCACTCTGACCGTGGTGGCGAGGTCGCCTCTGGCTGCCTTGGTCGCTTCTGTCGTGCGGAGGGCATCACCCAGACGTACACTCTGCCAGACTCCCCGCAGTAGAATGGGGTTGCTGAGCAATGCATCGGTTTGGTCATAGAGGTGGCTACCATTCGTCGACTCATCATATCTTTCACTCTCGCGATGTCACCTTTAACGAGTCTGTCTCCTACCACCGCTTTCCCCACCGTGGTCCCCCAGTCACTCCCCCCAAGAACCTGGTTCCCCCCCTCCCCCGGTCGCCCCTGCTCCTCCCCCTCCCCGCCCTTCCCCATATGGTGTGTCTCACATCACCCCCCTCCCGTCGGTTGTCCCTGGCGAGGGTTCTGCTGACTCTCGTGGCTCGGTGGAGTCCCTTCCCTCGCCTGTCCCCACTCCGGTCTCTCCTCCCCTGTCGCCGCCGTTGCTGTCACATCCGCAACCGCCTCCTCAGCTGCTGTCGTCGCAGCTGCCGTCGTCACCGCCGTTGGGGTTTGTGCGTTCTGGGGGTGCTGGGGAGCGTGCTGGAGCGGGTACTAGAGCCGGTACCCGTTCTGGGGGTGCTATCATGGGGCTTCACAAAGGGAGTCATGGTCCTGCTGGAGGCACCATGTCAGCAGTCGTCGCCGTCGTCGCCGGTGTCCGCTCTTTGCCTCCTCGGCCTTCCTTCTCCTTATCGCCTACCGGTGCCTCCTTGGTCGCCACCGCCTCCTCCTCTGCCGGTCTACTGCCCTGTGCTTCCTCGAGTGGACTCTTCTCCGGCTCGTTTCCCTCCTCATTCTACACCTGTGTCTCCTCTCCTCTCTCCTGAGCCGACTCCTCCGTCGCACGTCTGGTCTCATCGTCCGTCTCGTGCTCGTCCAACCTCCCCTGTTCCGCTTTCTCACCCTATGTTGCTTCGAGCTCACGCATCTCGTGCTCCTCGGCTCCTCCCGTCTCCTCCTCCGTCGTCTCTCGTTGTGGCCCCGCCTCTGTTTTCTGACTTCCTCCGTGCCGCGCGTCCCCTTGTTCCTCCTGTCCTTGCCTCCCTCGTTGCCGACCCGTCTGTTCCTGTCTCGAGCCTTGACGCTCTTATCGCTGTTGTCACTGACTTCGCCGCTACCCGCCGCCTTGACTACGCCACCGCCATGGTCTCTGACCCTGCCTGCCCTCCGTCCGTCAGGGGCGTGGCTGCCCTTGGCAGTGACGACCAAGAGGACAGACAATATGAGCTTGCTTTCCTGTCAGAGGCTGCTCCCCATCTCTGTTCCATGCTGCTAGTCCTTGAGGGTGACTCAGATGCCCTTGACATCCCGACCCCTCGCACCTACGCTGAGGCCACCTCGGGATCCTGGGCCTCTCAGTGGATAGCTGTCATGGTGCAGGAGATGGCATCTTGGAGATCCACCGGTACCTTTGTCTGCGCAGTTCCCCCACCTGGGGTTAACGTATAGTTGATGGCCGATGGCCCTTCAAGGTGAAGTGCCCTCCTGGAGAACCGCCTGTCTTCAAGGCGCGCTATGTTGCTCGTGGCTTTAGTAAGCGTGAGGGGGTTGACTTCTTTCAGACCTTCGTCCCGACCCCGAAGATGACTACTCTTCGAGCAATGCTACACGTAGCAGCACAGCGTGAATACGAGTTGCACTAACTTGACTTCTCCATTGCTTTCCTCCAGGGCAGTCTACACGAGCAGGTCTATCTGCGCCGCCCCCAAGGCTTCTCCAGTACCTTTCCTCCTGGTATCGAGTGGCTCCTCCAGCGCCGTGTCTACGGCCTGCGCCAAGCGCCCCGTGAGTGGCACGACACGCTGCGTGCTACACATGCTGATATGCAGTTCTTCCCGTCGTCTGCGGATCCCTTCGTTCTTCGTCCGTTCCGGCCAGGCTCTGTTCTACATCCTTGTTTCCGTAGACGATCTGGTCTTTGCTACTGCAGACAGAGACGTGCTGGCCTCTATGAAGGCCGAGCTGCTGAGGAGACACACCTGCACTGACCTAGGGGAGCTGCGCCGCTACCTTGGCTTGTAGATCACCAGGAACAGAGTAGCGTGCACCATCACTCTCACACAGTCAAACTTGGTGTGCCAGGTCCTTCAGAGGTTCGGCCTTCAGTTCTCTTCCGCTTAGCCCACCCCTCTGCCAGTAGACCATATACTCTCTTCTCCAGTTCCGGAGGAGGCTGTAGAGCCTAGTGGTCCTTACGCAGAGCTGGTGGGTTGCCTCATGTACCTGATGACTTGCACTTGTCCAGATCTCGCATACCCTCTCAGCATCCTGGCCCACGTTGTGGCCTCCGGCAGACACCGACCACAGCTCTGGTCTGCAGCTAAGAGGGTTTTGTGTTATCTAGCAAGTACTGCAGGCATGGGGCTAGTGCTAGGAGGACGCAGACCAGTGGTCCTTACAGACGCTTCTTGGACAGACGACGCCGAGACTCTCAGGTCCTCCCAAGGCTACTGCTTTGGCCTTGGTGCAGGCGCTGTCTCGTGGAGGTCCACCCGCTCGTCGTCTGTTGCCCAGTCTAGCTGTGAGGCTGAGATATAGGCCGGTGCCATGGCGGTGCAGGAGCTCCGTTGGCTGACTTTCTTGCCTACAGATGTAGGTGAGCAGCCTAGCTAACAACAGGGCCATGATCCTCCTGTGCCATGAGCCCAGACTAGAGGGCAAGGCGAAGCACATCCAGCTGCAGTACTTCCTCTTGCGCGAGCTACAGCAGCGTCGCCAGGCCCGCGTAGTACACTTGGCCTCCGGTGCCAACATAGCTGATATATTTACGAAGGCGCTTGCGCTTAAAGATGATCAGCGGCACTGCGTACAGCTTGGACTCAATCCTATAGCACCTCATTTGCTAGGACATTGATGGTGTATGACTCTTTATATGTTATCCTGACTGGCCTTATGGCTTTCTCCCAGTGGCTGGACTAGTAATGCGGCCCTGGTCTTGTTCTTGCCTTGTTTGTACTCTTTTGAGTGGTCTTTATACCCCTGCCTCAGAGGTTGGACTAGTAGTGCCGCCCTGAGCTGTGTGCTTCTTGCTCAGCACTACCCTTTATGCATACAGTTGCATGTATAAGTTATAGGATAGAATAGGTGTGTGTTCTTAGATAGTACAACCCACTAGCTATATACCCCTTTATACTCTCATTCTATTCAACACTTCTAACTCTGAGACTTTATGTGTCCCAGCAGGGCCCAGTTTCCTTACGAAAACTCTCGCGAAATAAACAAAGTTGCAAGCTTCTGCACCCAATCATTTCATTTGTTTTTGTTGAAAGTACATCAAAAGACTTAAGCGTTTCTGAAGTGTAACACTACACTCGAGGAAGATTGCAAGGGGTACGCGAGTCAACGGAGGTTACACGAGGGGGCGGACAAAGAACACGAAGGGTTTGGGACTCAAAGGGTCGCAATTGGAGGTTGCGACTGACCGTTACAACAGCACGGATGGTAACCGAAGCGACAATCGAGTCGCTGTACGACTCGATAAACCGCTACTGCAACTGTACTCTACAACTGTTTCTTATCTTCTATATATTGCTGTATGTTTGCCTTTTTATTATCACTTGTTCTCACATACTAGTACAAGGGTTCAACTGCCTCAACTTCCGCTGCACTACCCCAAGTCTTTACAGTTGGGACTTAGTCTCTGGAAAGATCCCAAGGGCTTTTCTCAGCCCAACAGTTTTCGCCACCTGCCAAGCTCACCTCGCGTTGACTTTGAGTAAGTAATTTGGGACATGGGCTTTAAACAAATAAACACTCAAATAGCACATGGTTATGCATATTTCCCTCCACACCATACGAAAAGCAAAATTTCTGCATAGTTCATAGTATTTTGAGGCGAAGTTGGTTCATTCAACACCGAACATGATTTTCCACACTCTACAGCCCATCAAACACTTGTGTATGCATCTGGTTATTTTCATTTTGTTTTGAATAGAAAACGGAATGGGAGTTACATTGAAGAATGCCTTCATTTTGCTTCGCGTTTGCGACAGTTTTTCGAGCGAGAGCCGCTACCGTCGCCAGAATCGCTGAGCACGAACAATTCACCAGTTTGAAGGTCAGCACACCGCAGTGACCTAGTAACAAGGCTCGTTGAGCATGTGGCAGGGAATGACTTTGGGGTGGATCACAACTTTAGGCATTTCGAGTGGTTCTCTGACGTGGCAATGCCTAATTGCTCCTCCAGATAGCCTACGCTCCCTTCCTGATAGCGATGTTGTGCGCAAGTTCTTTACCTGCCCGGGTGGAAAGTTCCGTCACGTAGCTGTCGTTTTGGCCAATAGGCAATCTCCGAAGTAGATTGATGGAGCGAAACGGGCAGAAGAGGGAAAACATCGGGAAAATCGTTCTGGGGGGGTCATATTGTCCCAAGCTCTCAGAATTCGGTAAGCTCCGAGCATCCCTGTGAACGCATCTGCCCACCTGCTCCTTGCTTCACCCTTCGTTTTCACCCAAACTCAAACCGTAGCCATGGCTGCCACCGCCGCTCTCTCCAGCACCTTCTCCGGCGTCGCTCTTCCTACCCTCCCCGCCAGGAAGACCGTCTCCGTGTCCCGGAGCCTGAAGGTGTCCGCCAGCGGCGGCAAGAAGATCAAGACCAACACCCCCCTGGGTTAGTAGTTGTCTTCCATCAGTTCCTGGTAGCCTTGACAGCTGCGGGATTTTGGAATGTTAAGAACGTTTCCGACAAGCTCTCCGCGTATTTCCTGACAGTCGCTCCGTCGTCCATGCCCGGGCAACCGCGTCCTGATAATCGCACTGGTAATTCATGCATGCAGGCCCCAGCGGTGACTACAAGTTCAAGGTGGACCCCTCCGGCTCCCCCTCCAAGGGCAAGGGTGCCTACTCCTTCGCCAAGAAGTACGGCGCTAACGTCGACGGCTACAGCCCCATCTGGACCCCGTCGGAGTGGTCCGCCAAGGGTGACACCTACGAGGGTGGTAAGTAATTTACGTGCCGTGTGCTTGCTTTACTTTTGCTGCCCTCAGGCTTTTCTTCCCTTGTTCCGCTGTCTAACATCTGGAGTGTTGACGTTGCAGGCAAGGCCGGTCTTCTCCTGTGGTTCCTCACCTTCGGCGGCCTTCTCGCCATCGGTGCTCTCCTCATCGTCAACACGAGCGCCATTGCCTAAATATTTTGCGTAACTTCTGTGTATAGGCAAGGTACTTGTAAACGGGATGCATTCACGATTTTCTTTAAACTAAAAAAAAACATTAACCCTTTGAACCAGGCTGGTATGCGTGAACCAATTAACAACCCGCGTGCCTAGTAAAATTGACCTGTAACCAGCCCTTTCGCAAAATTTTAGTACTGCCTGTCGCTAGTTAAGGGCGTGTCAAATATGTACGTGCACTTTGAGGATCGTAACCCCTGATAAAGTGCCAAAAATGCCACGCTCGACCCTCAGCCGTAGTCAGGGAACACACGCGGACATTTCAAAGTCCTGCGAACAGAAAAACCCCGAAACTCCAGCAGGTGGTCCACATCCAGGGCTAGAGCAAGCGAAATAATGTCGACGGAAAAATCAATGTCACGAAACTTCGCATGTCGCCAAGCAAATGCTCCCCCAAGGGTGGAAAGCCTACTGGACACGGCTTCGCTAGGTGGTACTCCGTTACCCGCCATCCTGCCCTCCCCAAGTGCCCCTTATTGTGGGACCCGTTTCTAGACCAGGTACGTTTGCGAAATCAATTCGCATTTCGCGACGTTTCGACGTCTCGCCATGTCCAAAACGGCAAAACGATTTTGGGGACACGCCCTAAGGCAATGGCTGACAGATGACTTCCTCCGCGCCTTTCGCTCAGACCAATGGCACACCACCCCAGCAAGGCACTGGATCCCCTGCGCAGCTAGCTATCTGGGGTTACCAACATGATTTCGAAATTCGCAAGCTATGGACTGGTCCGCAGCTGCAGTTCCTCCTTCGCTTCCCGTCCCTGCACACTCCCCTCCCTCTCTCTTTGCAGCCCCTCGGACCCGAGCCACATCTCTGACCATCCCCGTAGCTGCATCGCCGATGCGACCTGATCTTCCAAATACGGCGCGCCACATTTGGGGAGTGGGTTGCTTATAAACCCAGCCAACCGCTCTAGGCCCAACATCGGCTCACAACAAACCAGCATCGGCAATTCCAAACACACTTGCATCCACTTCAGACAATCCACGTAGCCATTGTCTGGGCCTTTTGTTAGGACAACTACTGCAAACAACTGCTAAGAGAAGGTACCGCGATTAATACCCAGACGTGATTAGTTGAGTCCCACCATGAGAACGGCGGCCCACAATCGCGTTGCTGCTGATCTTCGGCGCGTTTTCTGCTAGCAGCGCAGCCATCCAGAGGCGCACCACGCCAGTGGTGGCGTAACGGTGCCGAGTCCCAGCCTTTTGCGGCGCCCGCCAGAGGCAACGCGGGCAAATTCCAGGCGCCAGACACCGCCGGTTCTGCCGTGTACATCGTGCGCCTGAGCACGGCGCCCCCCCTCTCCGATACCGCGGCGGAATTGCGGGTACCCCGCCACTGCCACGTGGGACGACGGCAGCGACGAGGAGGAGAACGACGACGACCGCGTGCCGGAGATGCTTCTCGCGGCCGAAGATTCCGGCGCAGCAGGCGGCGAATCCGAGTCAGAGCCCGAGTCCGTCGACTTGGACGACACCAACGCCGATCAGCACTTCCCCAACGCAACTGCGCCAGCGCCAGCAGATGCGGCGCCTGAAACCAGTTCGACTTCCAGCGCACGCGTGGTCGTGGGAATGGTGGTGGTAGCAGCAGCGGCAGCGGCGGGTGCGCGCGGCACAGGCTGCATCTGAGCATGGACCGCCCCCAGGTGGCAGCGTTCGCGTCGCTGCTGCAGCGGCAGCAGGCGCAGGTGGCATCTGAGGCGGGCGTGGGCGACGGCGACCTGCTGTACAGCTTCAAGCACACGTCCAACGGCTTCGCCGCGCGCCTCACCCCGCGCCAGGCGTGGCGCCTGCAGCGCCATCCCGCCGTGGCGTCCGTGCGCCGCAGCCGCGTGTTCCAGCGGCGGACCAGCGACTCGCCCAAGTTCCTGGGGCTCCCCGGAAAGGTGTGGCCCGCCGTGGGCGGATAGAGCAAGGCGGGCGACGGCACGGTGGTGGGGATCATCGACACGGGCATCTGGCCCGAACACCCCTCGTTCTCCGACAAGGGGTTTAGTTCGAACTTCCCCTCTGGGTGGAAGGGTAAATGCGAGCAGTCCAACTCGTTCCGATGCAACAACAAGGTGATCGGCGCCAAGGCGTTCTACACCGGGTTTCAGCGGGCCAGCGGCAAGCCCGCGCTGGCGAACGACTGGCTCACGCCACGAGACGCGGACGGGCATGGCACGTGGTGCGCGGGCGCGGCGGCGGGGAGCCCGGTGGGGCTGCAGGGCGGCGGGCAGGTGAGCGGCATGGCGCCGGCTGCGCGGATCGCGGCGTACAAGGTGTTCTGGACGGACCGCAGCAGCGGGGAAATGTATGCGGACGAGTCAGACATCATCGCAGCCGTCAATCAGGGCGTGGCGGACGGCGTGGATGTGCTGTCGCTGTCCCTGGGGGGCATGGATCCCAACGACAACTATTTCAACGACCTGGCTTTTATGCGGGCCAACGCTGCCGGGGTGTTCATTGCCTTTGCTGCTGGTAATGCTGGCGCTCCGGGCCAGTCACAGGGGGGTGGTTACCGCACGGTGGACAACTTCGCACCCTTCTTTCTGACTGTGGGCGCCAGCACCATCGCACGGGGAGCGTCCCTAGCTTCGGCAGCAGCAGCAGCCGGCACTCAGTCGCTCCCCCTCAATGCCATTGCCGGCGCCGCCAGCACCAACAGCACTGTCAACTGCAACGGCACTGGCAGCGGCAACAGCACAGGCAACGGCACCATGCCAGGTGATGGCAGCGGCACCACTTTCACTGCCGACGGAGGTATCACCTTCGCCACCTCCTCCTCCTCCGCCCCGGTGGTTGCTGACTTCTCGTCCCGCGGCCCCCTCATACCGCCCTCTGCCACGGCCCAGCCCCCCCAACCAGGCAACGCCATCCTCAAGCCCGACATCATCGGCCCCGGCGTGGACCTCCTAGCCGCCGCTCCTGGGAAGAAAATCGGCGACCCCGGCGCCCTCGCCCGCCTCTCGGGTACTTCCATGGCCACCCCTCATTTGGCGGGGCTGGCCGCGTTAATTATCCAGAAATTCCCCAACTGGAGCCCGGCGCAGGTGATGTCGGCGATGATGACGACGGCGCGGGTGACTGACACGAGCAGCAGCCCCATCAAGAGCTCCACTGGCGGGGATGCCACCCCCTGGGAGATGGGGGCAGGCCATGTGTTCCCCCTGCCATGCTCAACCCCGGCCTCACCTACGACGCCCGAGACAAAGACTACCAGAATTTCCTGGCCGGGCAGGATCTGACCCGGGCGAAAAAGGAGTTCCCAGGGGTGTCCCTCTCCCCCCTGGCTGTGCGCAATCTCAACCTTCCCACCATTACTCTACCGCGCCTGCAGGGCTCGATTCAGGTGACTCGCACGGTCACCAATGTGGGAGGGGCCCAGTCCACATACAGTGTATCTGGGAAGGCGCCAGCAGGGGTGAAGGTGACAGTGGCGCCTAAGAGCCTCACGGTTGGTGCCGGGCAGAAGGCGAGTTATACTCTGACGTTCACTGTGGATACACCCAGCAAGGACTTCAAGTACGGGTATATAGTGTGGGCGGATGACCAGGGCCACAGCGTGCGGTCCCCCTCGTGGTGCAGCCACTCTCGCGCTAAAGGGGGAGAGGGTGAGTGCTTGCTGCTCTTGCAGTAAGGGCATGGGTGCTGTGCGGTGCTGTCCTGGCTGCTAGTGGTGCGGCTGATGCTACGGCTGGGAGCGTGTAGTGGGTCATTGGTCGAAATGTGATGGATGGACACGGGGGTTCAGCCAGGCAAGGGCAAGGGTTGGTTCGTGCTGGCAGCCTCACATGTTACAGGGATGACCTCCGTCCCTGGCCACGTGAAGACCCTGCTTTTAGGCTCCAGCCGGTTGAGGCTATTGCCTACATGTTAGGATGCGACCGTACCACCTGTATACATGGTGCCATTATTTATTCCAGTTTTTGTTGGCACCTCTGCCTCTGCATGTCCATTTCTCTAGACCAAGAGTGCCATACAGGAGAAACTGCACAGATACTCTTGCTAACTTCCCCATCACTGCTACAATAACTTTGACAATGTAACCCTATCACTCGATATAGGCGATAGTACACCCGATATTCAGCCTACTCTCAGGCCCGTGCCGCGAAACCAGCGGGCTGCTTGAGAGATATTTCAGCACAGCTGCCCGAAGCACGCCCGTCCCGAGTCCATGGTCAATGAACAGCACGGCACCAGGCGGCCTAGACTGCACTGCCAGGTCCACTTCTGCTAGGGCATCCTCCACACTCCTGCCCTAGCGGGATTTGCAACACCAGGCAGCCTAGACTGCACTGCCGCTAACGTCCACTGTGTTGCATGCTGTCTGCACTGCTGCTTCCCTCACTGCTGGCAGAGACGAAGACGATAAAGTTGAGGAGAGGGAAGATGGGGATGGGAATCGACCCCCTCGCTTTGAGGCGCTGTTGCCATTCGTGTTACTGCTACCATCGATGCCATCATCGTCTTGCTCCCAACGACCATCAAACATCCTGTGCCCCTCTCCTTCCTGCTGCCTCTCCATCAGCCATGGTCTGTGGCCCAGCAGCACTACCAGCATTATCATCAGCTTCCGCAGGAAGCAGGTCTCCTCTCTGCACTCGCAACCTCAGATTTCCTAGCTGTACAGTCACCAGCCGAGCCGCTGGTGCCGAGCCTGAACCCTCTCCCGAGCCTTCTCTGGACCACAGCCCATTGCCACCACTGTACCACACATACTGCTGCCGAACCTCCTCACATACACCCCCTCCCCCACAGCAGGGACCCAATCCGCTCCTCGTGGATCTGCCGAGCCTCCTGCCAGACCACCAACCGGAGCACCCAAACCTGGAGCAGAATCAGGTTCAGGAAAGAGCACGGTCAGTCCTGCCGCTGCTGCCAGGTCAGCACAGGCCCGGTCGGTTGCTACTCGCTACGGCACACAAGCAAGGGAAACCTCCTGGAAGGAGGCAACGACACTAGAGATCTCCTCCCTCGCTGCTAGCACCTCCTCCTCCTGTCTCTCTGGTACCGCCACTACCACTGCAGCTCTCGAAACGCCAAAGACTGCTCTTTCTGCCTGTTTTTCTGGTCCTTCGTGGTATGTTGGGCTGGGAAGTCGTTGCGAAGCCTCTCTGCGTCTCGCGTGGCCTCTGCTGCTTCCCCTGCAGCCTCCGCATTCCGCTGCCATTGCTGCTGCAGGGACGCCAGTATTCCCAGCTCCTCACCCTCTCCCCCCCCCTTCCCATGGTGGCATACTCCTTCTCACTCTCCCTCCCCTCCCTCCTCCCGCTCCTCCTCCTTACTTGTCTCACGAGCCAGCCTGGCGGCTCTGGCGAGGACGGGGGGGGGGGGGGGGGGGGGGAAGACTGTGGGAAGCAGCGAGGGAGAGGGCGTGGGAGGTGCCGGGGCGACCCCAGAGGATGTTGACGGAGGGGCGCAGTGAGACTCGGTCAAAGGCCGCACTCGCATTCTCAAAGCGGGGGTCGGAGGACTGCAAGGGAAGAAGAGAAGGGGTGGGAAGGGGGTGTTGGGAGGGTGGTGAGAGGGAGAGGGGCATGAGGGAGGGGGGTTGGGAGGTGCCAGGGAGACCCCAGAGTATGTTGAATGACGTGGGCAGGGAGACTCGGTCGAACACCACACTCGCATTCTCAAAGCGGGGGTCGGAGGACTGCAACGGAAGAAGAGAAGGCGTGGGAAGGGGGTGCTGGGAGGGTGGTGAGAGGGAGAGGGGCATGAGAGAAGGGGGATGGGAGGTGCCATGAAGACCCCAGAGTATGTTGAATGACGGGGGCAGGGAGACTCGGTCGAACGCCACACTTGCGTTCTCAAAACAGGAATTGGTGGGCTGCAAGGGAAGAAGAGAAGGGGTGGGAAGGGGGTGTTGCTGGGTGGAAGCCAGTGTGAGCCATCATTGGTATGCGCCTGGTGTCACAGTGTGACCCTCCAATGGGTCATTCAGCCGCTGTTTATCATACCTTGAGCTTCTTGAGGTCGGCGTAGTCAGTGGTAGCGAGTGTGAGCCAAGGTGCAAAAAAACGGCATCCGTATTAAACGGTCCGTTTTAAACTGCCGTTTTTTACGGTGGGTTTTGGTAAAAAACGACGTTTTTTTGTTAGACTTTTTTTCATGATTTTTTTTTAATGTATAAAAAGCACGCGTAAACAAGTGGCCTGATTGCTAAGGCGGCCTGCATCGTTCTACGGGGTAATTAGCGGCTTTGAAACAGGTATGTGATGTCCATGCCCCTAGTCCGTCGCCTTCTAGGTCTCATTCTGCTCCTACTCCACCATCCCCCCATCCTCCTCCTCCTAAGCGTCATCCACCTAGTCCTCCCCCCTTTGTCCTCCTCCCCTTAAGCGTTATTAGCTCGGCCAAAAACAATGTACACCGTATTATACAGTGGTACGAAAAAAACGGTCGTATAAAACGGCCGTTTTTTTGCACCAAACGAAAAATGCAACTTTTGACCGTTTTAATCATATTATACGACCGTTTTATACGATCCCATTTTAAACGGTAAAAAACGCCGTTTTTTTGCACCTTGGTGTGAGCACTTCACATCCCGCCAGGTGTTTCAAAAGGGCAGCTGCGAGTGCAGCACCGTCTCAGGGGCCCACCCCTGCCCACCTCTGTTCATGAAGCCACACACTGCACTCAAAGACTCGCCTTGAGCTTCTTGAGGCACATACCTTGGTTGGGGGTTGTTGATGGGGTCGTAGACCTGTGACGACCCCTCAGACCTTGGTCTCTGCCACTTCCACATGCTCAAACACTCACTCTGGGCTTCTTGAGGTCGGCATAATTTTGAGGAGCTTCAAAAGTAATCTCAGTTCACGCAGATTTTATATGGGGAATATATCCATTTCTTGAAGCTGCTCAGAGACTCACCTTGAGCTTCTTGAGGTCGGCATAGTGAGTAGTGGTGAGTGTGAGTCCTTCAGCACCAGCCAGGTGTTTCAAGAGGGCAGCTGCGAGCGCTGCACCCTCTGAGGGATCCGTGCCACTGCCCACCTCGTCCAGGAGCATGAGAGAGGAGGAGGAAGAAGCGGAGAAAGAAGGGGATGAGGGGGAAGGAGCAAGAAGGATGTGTGAGACGCGGTGCATGTGGGCGCTGAAGGTGGACAAGCTCTGCTCCAACGACTGCTCGTCACCGATGTCATCCACCACCCGGTCAAACCATGGTAGCACCGCCACACACCCATTCACACCGCTCTCTCCGCATGGATCCACTACCCCCTCACCCTGTCTCCCTCCACTCTGGTCTGCCTGTTCTTCCTCTCCTCCTCCTCCCTCCCCCTCTGCTCCTATTCCCTGCATCCCCTCCATTCCTCCCTCCCCACCCTGCTCCCTCCCCTGCCTCGCCCCCTTGTCAGTGGCATGAAAAGCCTAGCTTTAGCCATGTGTGTGGCAATCCCAAGGGTCTTGCGGGCGGCGGTCTTGCCGCCCGCATTGGGGCCTGAGATGATCACCACTGCGATGCTAGGCGGGACAAGCACGTCTATGGGCACAGGCAGGGCTGGCATTCCTGCTACATCCTTGCGTGCTGCTCCTACAGCTCCTGTGCCTCCAGCCGTTCCTGCTCCTCTTGCCTATCCTGGAGCTCCTGCAGCTCCTGTTGCTCCTGCGGCTCTTGTGCCTCCTTCTGCTCCTGGTGCTCCTGCTGCTCATGCTGTTGCCTTAACGCCTAATGCACCTACGATGTTGACGAGAAAGCCCCGCCCTCGCTTGAGTGGGCACCTCGTCGTGCGCAACACCCGTGCACACCTAGTTCTGGTTGGCGTGACGAACCGGGGAGCGTTGCATTGCAACGCAGTTCAAGCCGCAGGTGTGATCGGCAAACTTGCAGTACAGTGGCAAAGTCCAAGTTGGCGAAGTTCAAGTCGGCGAAGTTCAGGTTGGCGAAAATCTGAGTAGCGAATTTCTGCGCGGCGAACTGCAAAGGCGTCGAAACTGCAAAGCGGCAAAACCGCAACACCACATCCAGCGTGGGTGTTGCGGAACAATTGCGCAACTGAGCACATTCGTTGCGAAACAAAAGTGTGCGAATTTCTCCACTACGGAATTCGCATGCGATTGAGACATTGGAGCCACCTGACCGCATTTGAGTAGCAGTGCAAATGTGTACGCAACGAACCGGTTAGACCCTGAGCACCTACCATTGTCACATGCGTAGTTAGGAAACCTGGACATGTGCGCATGGACAGCTTTTCCTCATGCCATCATTGAATTCGCAAAGCGTAGCTTTGCCACGGTTTGGGACAGCGCAACATTATGGCTGTTGGGCTGAGAAAAGCCCCGAGGATCTTTTCAGAAAACGAAGTCCTTGTAACAGAGTGCTTGATAGCACAGTTGTATTAGTATGTAAGAACAAGTGATTGATTATAGCAAAGAGATACAAGGGTTTATTTAATAATAGAAGAGAATACAAAGAGTCTAATTGATTATGCACTTCGAGGGGTACATTTCCTTTATGAATCGATAAGAGCGACTCGGGTAACCACCCGTACTGTAATACCGGGACGGTTATTTGTCCTTGCTGTCATGCTCACTTGAATCTTGTACTTTTGATTGTTGAGTTGCGAGGTCAACGGTCTGCGATCGTTGCCCTTTCGTAACCTCTGCGAGGTGTCGTTAGACTACGTCAACCGTCAAGGATACTGTAGCGATCTTGACTCGGTAATCTTCGATGTGTGTCCTTCGCGTAATTGTTATAGTTACGCGATACTCCGGAAATGTGCTGAAGTCCTTCTATCCTTTCCAAGAATGGCACCGCGCAGCGGTGTGGAACAGCACAGCGTTGCGACGCAGCGCATTGCGACTAGTTGTTCTGGGGATCTTAGGTGTCACAGGACCAAATTGATCGAGGAAAAAATTCACTACCAATCGATAGAAGGCGCAATAATACTTCCAAGGTATATCAGGTAACCAGCTTTATCACATCCAAAGGGGAATGAACCCTTCTAGAAATTGAATCGCCCTACATGTAGTCATGCGAGGCTATTGGCTTTAAGGGATTACGACAGGATTACGCTAGATATAGCGCACCAGTACATCCCGAGCCTGATCGATGATATAATTATGATAGCAGGATAACCCAAAGGATAATGGAAAATGGGGAATAGGAAACCAAATGAGATGAGATGAAGACCAAATTAATCAGGAGAAAAAGAAGAACGAGATAGCGGAGAAATATGGAAATGAGAAAGAAGTGTAACGGGGTCGTACTCTCACACTTCCCCCCTCAAAGTTGGTGCTTGACAAGGTAGCCGCGAAGAGGACGACGGGCGTTACCCATAGCAGATTCAGGAACCCAGCTATCCTTGGAAGGATCATAACCCTTCCAATGGATGAGAAGCTCAAAGGGGTCATTCCAACGACGACAGTATGCAAGCACAAACTCGACCTCGCACTCGGGTTCATCATGGACGAGGACGGGCGGCGGCGGCGGCGGCGGTTGGCGTCCCAAGAAGATCATGTTGGGATCTCTGTAGGGCTTCAGAAACTGGACATCCAAGACATTGTGAATCTTCTAGGTAGCTGGCAGGCGTAAGCCGAATTTAACAGGGGAGACCTATGCTTCAACAAGGAAGGGCCTGCAAAAGCGAGGTCATAGTTTGGATGAGATATGGTTGATGTCAAGATTGCGGGTATCGAGTAGAACCGTTCTCCCACAGTCATGGTGTGGTCATTGAGGTGGCGATCGGTGTGGCACTTCTGGTGCCACTGAATGTTGAGGAGGCGTTTGTGGGTCCGATCCCAAGCTGATGCATGGTGGTGATGAAGTCGTGTGCATGTTGGACTGTGGCTGGTGCTGTCAATTTTTGTGGGGTGAGTGGGTTGTGTCCGTAATAGAGGAAAAACGGCGTCTGTCCAGTAGTGACGTGAGTGGCGTTGTTGTAGGCAAACTCCATGACGGGCAGATGCAAGTTCCATTTAGAGATTTCGTCCTTGCATGCTGCTTGAAGAAGCTGCTCTACAATTCGGTTGAGACGCTCAGTCTGTCCATCTGTCTGGGGATGGTATGCGGATGACATGGCGAGTTTGGTCTCAAGCATAGACATAAGTTCCTTCCAGAACTTACTGGTGAACTTAGGTCTCGGTCAGAGATCAGTGTGGTTAGAATGCCATGCTGTGAGATGATGTAGCCAACGAATAGTTGTGCTGTCTACTCGGTGCGTGATGTCATGTATGTCGGAATGAAGTGCCCCATTTTGGAAAACTTATCGATGACTACAAGGATTGCGTCATGACCGCTTTTGGAAGTTGGTAACCCGGTTATGAATTCCAGGCTAACCACTTGCCATGGCAGTTCTGGGACAGGAAGAGGCTGTAGCAGTCATGCTTTTTACTGCTTGCTGCTCTTCATCAACTGCCATGTGTCGCACGAGGTGACAAATTTCTGTACGTTGTTTGCCATTTAGTGCTTTGCAATATTGGTGAGCGTCTTGTTGCTACCGAATTGTCCCGCGTATAGGAGATCGTGGTATTCTTCGAATAGTAACTGGCACAAAGGTGGGTAGTTGGGTGCCCAGTACGTTATGTCACTGTCCCACTGTAGCAAATGTCACTTCTCTGCTAAGGGAATTTCGGGGTCAATGGTGTACCCGTGTGTGAAGATTTCCTTGAGTAGCGGGTTCATCCGTTCGACCTGGATAGTGGCAACATGTCCAGGCCGGCTGAGAGCATCTGCTTTGTTTTTGTGGTCAGGCTTGTACACGTTGTCGTAGTGGAAGTGCATCTCGAGGAAGTCAATCCACCGGACCTGCCGCCTGGAGAGGTTTGGTTGTGTCTTCAAATATTTTAGGATGCAGTGATCAATGTAGACGGTTGTTTTTCGTCCTTCGAGATAAAATCTCCACGTTTTGAATGCGATGATAATAGCAAAAGCCTCTTTGTCATGTATCGGGTAATTTAGTTCTGCCCCGTGCAGTTTCTGGCTGAGGTAGGCGATGGGTTGCAGTCCATTCCCGTAGTCTTAGATCAAGATTGCTCCCACTGCCCGGTCACTCGCGTCAGCTTCGATGACGTAGTCGCGTTCGGGATCCGGCAAGATGAGAGCGGACGTGAGTGCTTGTTTCAGCTGGTCCACGACATCTTGATGTTTTGATTCCTATTGATAGGGCGTGTTCTTCTTCAGCAGATTCGTGAGTGGTGCAGCGATTTTTGCGTACTGTGGCACGAACCTGATGTAATAGTTGGCGAAGCCTAGGAACTGCTGCAACTCCTTTACGTTCTCGGGTGACTTCCATGTGCGTACGGCTTCGATCTTCTTGGGTCAATGTGAAATCTCTGAGCACTCAACATGGGTCCTAGGAATTGGACCTTCTTGAGGGCGAACCCGCTCTTGGATAATTTGACGTAGAATCATTCTCGTCCAAGAATGTCGAAGACGCATTGTAGGTGTTCAACGTGCTGCTTCATATCGCACGAGTACAGCTATAATGGCCGCACGTTTGCCTGGATTCGTAAAGGCACAACCCTGCAGCACCACCAAATCAAATAGACGGTAAACCATGGGGACAAGGATCGGTGATGGTGTGGGGATGTGTGACATGTGCAAGGGTGGGGTTCATATGCAAGATTGACGGACGCATGGAGAGGCCCCTGTATGAGAGCATTTTGCTTAATGAACTAGAATTGACCCTCCATTTCTGTAGGCATTTCCCCTCTGGGGTTATCTCGGTGCAGACAATGATCTCAAGAATTTGTTATGCCTAGTGCAGGAATGAATTGGAGAACATGAGTATGTAGCCCTGGAGTGGCCTTGTTTCTCATCAAACCTCAACCTCTGGGCTTACCCGAAAAGGGAGCCAGCCAAGCATAAAAGGCCTTCCTCTGGAATGCTGGAGCTTTAAGACCTGGTCCAGGAAGAATAGGAGAAGATCCATGCCGAGGTTTGCTCTAGCCTCATCGACAGCACGCCTAGGAGGGTGCGGGCGGTGATCAAGGCCAAAGGCCAGTGGGCTAGGAACTAAAAACACTCCTTCGGAGTTTGCTCTCTCTGCTTTGAACTATTTGTCTGGATGTACCCTTTGTACATCTTTTGGGATATGAGTTAGATTCAACGTACTATTCTGGATGTTTGTGCTATGAACACATCCACTATGTGCCCCTCCCAAATCGTACCACCATTAAACATTAAGGCTTAATGTATAGTGGTCTTAAAGCCTAAAAACCCAAATTGATGCAAAACTTACGGACAATTGTTTCTGCCACTGTATATGAGGATGTCATCTAGGTATACCACCACGCATTCGTCCAAGAGTGGGCAAATGATGTGGTTCATTTCGGCTTATTAGGTTGCCGGTGCGTTCGTGAGCTCGGACGGCATGAGCAGATACTTGTACAACCCACACCGAGGTAGTTTTATGGATGGAATTGCTCGCCATTCTTATCCGCCTGTATCCGGACCGCAGATCCTGTTTGGAAAATACCGTGGCTCTCCGAAGCTGGTCAAGCAGGTCACCGACTCATGAAACGGGTATTTATTCTTGATTGTCTTCTTGTTGAGAGCTCGGTAATCGATGCACATGCGCATGCTTTCGTCCGATTTCAGTGTGAAAAGTACTGGGGCACCGTAAGGTGAAGTGGATGGTCGGATGAGTCCTTTTTCGAGGAGATACTCGATTCATTTCTTCATGTCGGCTAGCTCTGTGGGGCTGAGCCAATATAATGCTCGGTAGGTCGGCTTCAAACCTAGTTCTTTCACGATCCCGTGTTGGTGCGCTCGGTATGGCGGTAGCTCGTTCAGAAGGTCGTCGGGAAGAATGTATTGGAACTCCTTCAGTAATTCACGGTTTTTTTCTGGACGTTACGATGCTTTCTCTTCGTCCTCTTCTGCATCTGTTGCTATCGCCAAAAATCCGGTGTCAGTTCGTTCCACAAACTTCTTGAACCTGGCGATTGTCTCCACTAGGATACTTCCTTTGTCGTCCCAGTTGGGTAGCTGGACTCTCCTTCCGTTGTTGTACTGTAGATGCTTGCAGTACGGTTTACCCAGGTGACATAAGGGTTGACTTTTTAAGGAAGTCTCGCCCGAAGATCAAGTCAAGCCCTTTTATATTGGTGATGGGGAGTGCGTGTTTCCAGCGCAATGGACCGATTTGTAGGTGTAATACTGGTTCGTCGTAGACTAGTAACTTGCTGCCGTCCACCATCGTTGCAGAGAATGTTGAAGGCTTGTACTCTTCCCGAAGTTGGTTGATTGCTACCTTGTCATATACGGTGTGTGACGCTCCACAGTCCACGGGTGCATGGAGGCGTTGTCCTTTTCAGACGACCTCGAGCACAAGGGGAAGGCGTTGCTCGGAGTACCAAAAGATAGTTTCATCAATAGGATCACAGGGTACATCTCAATATTCCGTACACACCTTTAATTGCTATCTACTCTTGAGCTGCCAGCTGACCGAGGCTGCTTGGAGAAAGGCTCTTCTCCAGAGCTCGTAGTTTCCTTGACGACAGTGTGTTTCGTTGATGCCGAAGTTGTTGAGTTGGATGCATCCGAAGGAGGATTTCGGGGCCTTTGCAGCTTCTTGTAGACCCCTAGCTTCCTCTTCAGCTACTTCAGCTCCATTGATGTCTTCCTTGGGGAACGGGTAGTCGTTGTGGGCTGGTGTCGGGAGAGGACATGGACTACTTGGAAAGGTCAACTTCTTTCCACACTCCTTAATTTTTTCCCCAAGATTTATGGTATCGGTACGATCTCCACAATTTTCTGCTTCTTTTTGAGGCCCCCCATAATTTCTCCAAGGCTCTAGCCCCTCAAGAATCATACAATTTATAGAAACATCTTTATAAGATAACTTTAACGAACCATATAATTTATTGGGTCTTCAAGGAAATTCTCTGTCTTGGCAGAGGCTTTTTTTCGCGGAGTCAATTTTTTTCTCGGCAATTTTCCCTAGCAAAGATTGGTCGTGGGGTGGAGATTTTCCCCCATCATTTCCTTCTGCTCACATCGAATTAGCTTTGTCGAAGTTGATTTTTATGGAATCCTGCGATCGCTTTCGGATCTTTTCTTTTTCACCAGCTACATCCACAATCACTGACGATTCCCTCTTCTTCTTTTTTCTGATTAGCCGAAGAATTTCCGCCACTATTGCATGCCCGAAGCTTTGCACGCACGACTTTTATTTCATTATAGTCGAAGATTTGATGGCCCGGCAGTC